CCTTGACCGGATCGTTGGGGTTCCTGGGTTGTAGCTTCCAAGGATATGGCATGGGCAGGTTGGTGAAAATCCCTAACGCCTGCGCCAACTCCCAGTCGTCGGCAAAGTCGAGAATAATAGTCCAGATCTCCGGCGGCAAATTGGAGTATACTCGCGGATCACCCGAAGCGAGGTAACCGAGATGGGTGACGACGTCAACATCACGACCTAGGCCGAGCAAGTCGGCTTGGTTCTTGATGATGCTCAACACGTCGTTGAAACCGTTCCAATTGACAATTCGCTTAGGGTGTTTGTGGGCGCTGTCGTAGTGCCAGAGAATAGGTGGCATAGCTCGCACCCAAGGCCATTTGCTGTTAATTTTGTTCAACTGCCTTTTCGTGACCGGGTTCTCCCACATGTGCGTGCTCATTCCAGGGACGAGGAGCACCTTTTTCGCTGTGTCCCAGCCACGAAGGACCTCAAGAAGAAAAGTATCCGCGATCCCCACCATCATCTTGGCGATGTTGTCGGCATCGATGGGGGCGAGAACCAGAAGATCAGCCCACTCGACCAGCTCGAAAGCTTGCTGGCGGTAGAATTCGATATCGTCAACGTCTGCTTCGGAGCCGGCACGCGACGGACCGAGCGGCAGTGTCATGGATCGGTTCTGCATAGTGATGACAGTCTGGCTTAAGCGTGGAACGGCGTCGTCGACGATGGCGCGCATCTCAATGGCCGAACTCTTGGAGAGGCGGACGACGAGAGCCTGTGCCCATGATATGTCGCGAGGCCCATTGGCGGCCACTAGAAGGTGAAGCTTTCGGTCGCGCGGCTTGAAATGGAGTGACGAGGAGGAGGAGGCGCTCCTCGTTATTCGGAGCGGCAAGGGGTCGGGGGGATCCATCGTGTCATGCTTTGGGGGCGCTGGGGATGGTTCGTGTTGATCGAGGCGGTATCGTCGGCCTTTAGATTATTGAAATCGGGTCGATCGTCGGCGTCTAAGGGTCGAGAGGCAACAAACGCGGTCGTAGATAGCAAAGGTCCTGATTCACCACCTTCTAGCGTGGTTGTGATCGGGGGCGGGCGTCGAGATGATAAGGTCCAAAGACGAACTTTGGGCGTGAGTCGAGTTGCCAAGGAGTTGGTCGTTGTCGCGAGTCGGTGAAGAAGGTCAGAAGTCGTTGATCGGCGGTCGTAGATAGCAGGGCTGTTGTCAAATCTCGGGGACAGGAGTGGTCTAGTGGATTTGTGATTTATCGGCGGTTGGTGGTGTGTTGTCCGTGACAGCGTTTGCGGTGTGTGCAACGTCGCGTTGGGTAGGTCTGCAGTAGTGGTAGTCCAGCAATTATCCGGGGTCCGTACGACTAGGTACTGACTGCGTAGTGGTGAATCAGGCCAGGCGGGAGTGCTTGTGTAGCGTGTGCAGGTAGGTATCCGATCCGCAGAGCAGCGAAAGGTAGCGTGAGGTCGCTCGCAAGTCAGATCAGCGAATAATAGGTTGGAGTCTTGGAGAGAGTCGTGGCTGGCAGGTGGGAAGAATTGGACATGGATAGGTCGCAATATGTGGCATCACCATGACATGGGTGCGAATTCCTTAATTCCACTCTCGGGACGAGGTGCATGCGATGACCGACCGACAGAGTGACGAGGGGGAGAGGGGAACGTAATTGGCACGTTGGGTGGTCCTCGCTTCGTCGGTGACCGGGAACAAGCTGGGCTTGTTTGTCGATGGTGTTAGTATCGTTCGGTGTCGCTGGGCTCTGATTTCGATCTAGGCTACGATGATTCGTCGGGAGATGAGGCGGCGAAGCGAACTGGATGCGAGAGAAGGGAGAAAAAAAAAAGTCCGGGCTTGTTCCTTGGGACGACGAGAATGCGAGCAGTGGTGGCGGCAGGCGAGAAGAGACGCAGAGACGCAGATGGGGGTTTTCGGGAAGACCAGGACGAAGGAGTGGGGACTTCCTGCAGGGCAGAATGGAAGGGGGGGCAGACGGAAGAAAATCAAGGGGTTGCCGACAGGGAAGAGTCGAGTAAATGCAGATTGAGAGGGGAGAAGGAATCTTCGTTTGCTGGAGATGGAAGCGGTCCACGTTCACGACTGCGACTACGACTCCGTGGAAAGGGAAGACACCAGGAGAAAAAAAGAGGAGAGACTCAGACGGTGACGGTGACATTTGTGGAGACCTTGCGGGCGGAAAGTCTGCCGTTCTTTCTTTCCAAATTCTTCCTTCTGTCACTTGTGAGACCGGCACCTCTCTTGCCTCTTGCCTCCAGTACCTTAAGGTAGTGTAAGACCTGACGTGCGACGAGGAGGCGTCGGTGAGCAACAATTACCTAATCTGCCCCGCCTTTTCTGTGCTTATCCCACGCTCCTTCCTTAAGGCCTTAAGGTACTGTGTAAGGTACCAACCACAACATGGGCGGGCGGACACTTTTTTTTTTTCTCTTTCGCAGGAGCCAGACTGAGCCTCTGAGGTCCGCCTTCCTCAGCAAACTCCCCCGCCTCTACGTCACTGGCGCTCCTGCCTCCTGAGACAGTTTGACCTGTGACGGCAGGTCCAGAAATGCAAGCGACCCTTCCTTCCCTTTCAAAGGAAATTCTCCGCAGGTTGTTGCGATTGCCGAATTAACTTCCAGTCTCGCTCGGACCGTTATCTCCTTGGTATTCCAGGTTCCTCAAGACAGCTCTCATTCTGAGACTCGTTCTGAGACTCATTCGCATTCTCACCTCATCGCTCATTTCCAGACACGATACTTGAGTTCATCACATCGCCGCTGCAAGCAACTCATGAATCACCATCAGTCATCTCAACCTCCCTGATCGACTGCTGTCAGCTTGCCAAACGCAGCCATCGGACCGGCTCATCCTGGCTGCCACAAGGCAAACCCCAAGACTTCCAATGTGAATCTTGAGAATAGGCCCCCCTGTTTTGCATCTCCGACTCCCATCTGCTAAGTTTAGCGCAATCCGGCCTTGCCCCGCAGGGTCCTCCGTGTCATCGGCGCCGGATCCCCACCCAAACGGCGATTAAGTGTGAATTTCATCCCGACTTTTGGCTTTTTACTCAGGAGCCCCTCCAAGCGAGACCCCGGTCAACACCCCAGGGCCGGAGAGAATTCCTTATTGATCCATCAAAGATAAAGCATGCTGACATAATTCAACCAAGTCGCAGTACCTTGAGCCGCGCCTAGAAGTACGTCTCTTTGCATTCCCTACGGAGTAACAGGAACTTTTGTTGTCGGATCCTGCCGAGAATGCAGCATGCATGCTCTAGTGCTTTATTTCCCGTTGATACGAAGTATTGCTTCCGAAATTTTTGAAAGACCCACGTCCCGTTGAGCAACCTCTGCTCATCAAGGTGATAATGAATGAGCCTTAGTTTTGGCAGAAATGATGGCGTGTGCGCTTTCGATGCACCTTAGAGACGCTTTAGTTCTAGGTATACGCCGCCAACACCTCAATGAAGAATATTGCCTCTCTATGCTATTGAGGCAATTCGCGGCTACATTGGAGTACGGGTACATATTTCTGATTCGCTCATTGGTAGAGTTAAGCTTCTCTTATATACCCTCAAGCTAATGAACTCTAATCTTGGCACACACCTCATCCTCGTTCTCGGTCAACTACCACAGGCCAACCATGGTGTACGCATTAGTCTAACAATTTGCAACCTTCCTTCGCTACACCTTCTACTGAGTAGACTAGATATGATGTGATTGGGAGGAACCCTGGTGCGCCAGAACGACTGTTGTCGATAATTGCAAGCAGAGCTACTGGACATGAATCCCTCATCCCGTTTCATCTAGAATTAGGGATGAAGAGCACTTTTGGCCATGATGGCTAGGTTCTTAGGTACATGTCAGCTACGAGGGCCATTGGACTTTTTCCACTTCCACACACGAGTAAAGGAAGCCGCATCACAGAGCTCGATAGATGTGGATATTCCAGGCATCCGTAGGTCACCGCCTCCGTGCTTAGCCAACAAGCCCACTTTACGGACTCATAAATCACCGGCAACAACTTGATGGAACGTCACTTCGTAATCTGGACGCTGTTTTCAAGGGACTACTTACAAAACGGTTATACATCTCCCAGTTTTTCTTAGAGTGCGCAGGTTGACTCTTTCATTATCATCAACTCTATTCTTTAGCTTTACGTCGGGTTTTGCTGCCAACAAAATTGAATCCGAAATCAGAATGTTGTACCATTTATTCTTTCAGGTTTTTTTCATGGCCAGTGCCATCACTGCCGCCAGTGGTACCTCTGCCGTCCCTTTCACCTGGCCCCTCCGCAAGGATCCATGTCCGATTTCGAGTATAATTTACGCTACGGATGCGACTTCATGACATGGTGCGGAGGCTTTGATGGCGGATGCGAAGCCGAGGTATTTACAATCTACTATACCCCATAGAGTTGCTGGGCACTTTCTGATACATATGTGTGATCTTAGTGCCTGCGTCAAGGAAAAGAAGGCTGGACTTGCACTAGTCCCAATTGCGAGTGTCTTTGCGAGTAGAGCACTTGCTATTTGGTCTCCAGAGGGACATGCACAAGTGGTACCGCCAGTGGCTAGATGCCATGCAGTTCCCGGTACAAATCTTAGTTGAGATCCAATGCTCGGATAATGTCATAGTAATCGTTAGGTCGATTTAAATAGCGTTAGGCAGATAGCTACGAGAAAATCCATGCAGTAACATCTTAAGAGGCCAAGACTGCTCCGCAAAACAACGCGAAACGACCTCAGACTTCTCCTACCTTGGCCAGCCTAAAGATCTGGGTTACGAAAGCAGCGTCCGTTGTTGGGATCAGCTCTGTAAGGATTCATGTCAGCTTACTGATTTGATCCAAGCTTTTTGAGATGTAATAACGCTTACATGTACTCCCAGTTGCCGTACGCCGTTTTTCCCCCTTGGGCACACTTTGCTTCCTTGGAAAAGCCATTCACGCATTCAGGTCCATGAATAGTACGCGTTGCACCACTGCCAAAATACTGCAAAGCGTCAGACACAAGAAGTAAAAGCTACAGATTAGAAGTTGATACCTTCAGCTCAAAGTCCCACTTGATGCCATTCTTGTCATGCACGCAAATCCGTCGAAACTCGCCCTTGTTGTAGAGGCCTGTGAGCAAGCTACAGACGACGCCGAGATCGAGGACGTTGTTGTCATTGGCGTAGCCTGTTCGGGGTCCTTATTTGAAACATTCCCCAAGGACCGAGGAGGGTCCAGCGAGGAGAGTTAGAGGGAGGATGTGGATGAGATGCATCTTACTAAGGACTGAAGAAAGGGGCCGTTTTGTTCTAGGACTCGTCGGTGAATGAGTCTTGGGGATGGCGATTCCTCCTATAACAGCAGACCGAGTACTTATAAACAATCGCTGCACATCCAGGAAAGTGATGATATGCGCATGGAGAGCGGCCATGGAGGCGAAGAGAAGTTTTCGGCTCATCAATCGGAAGCGAGCAATTATGGCCCTCGTGTCCATTGCTTAGGTGCCGATCTCTCGTATCAAAATTAACATGGACTGCCATTCATTCCTCGCTATGAAGCAGATAGCAAACGCAAACTTTGCTGGTCTGTCGGATGACAAAGCCCAGAATAGGTGTACAAATTGCTCGATGACACGATTAGACATGCCCGGGCTGCTTATGTTCGCGCGGTTTGCATCATGAACCATTGTTACCATACCATTACCCCTACATGCACCCTTACCTCGTTGTATCACCGCTCTGAAAGACAGCATCTCATCACATGAGTGTGAAATCCTGACTTGTGTTACATTTGCAATCTTATCAATTGTGTTGTGTTTCCAGGGTGGCAAACGGTACACCATACATTATAGGCAACGGGTCGAGGAAGCAAACATTGCGCCAGTAAACTTTGAAGCTCAAGCACCTAGCTGCGATCTTCAGACCCCGATGTTCACAACAGAATCCGTTTAGCTGCAAAGTAGGCCATCGTCGCGTTCTCAAACTGCGATCAATCTTTGCTTTTCTTGTGATCTTGATTTCTGTCGAGGCCGCGATTGCCTTCCCTGTCCCCCTTGTTACCTCAGTACCAAGAAGCGAAACATGTTGCCGCGAGGCGAAGCATTATCTAAAATGCAGACAGGACTCTCGTCTATCATTAAATTTGATCAATCCCCGCTGAGTAAAACATTGGAAAGACTCCTATGCCAACCAACGTTATTCTTGGCTCTTGATCACTATTTCTATCCTTCAAAACCTTGGCTACTTCGACAAAATGAGGGTTTCAGCACTTTCTCACCTTCTTGTACTCGCTGTCTGGGCTGCCTTCTCCTTCTGTGCTGTTCTGGTAAAGAATGCTGGCGAGATAGACGACACCTTCAGAGGTGGTTCACATTCAGTGGCAAGTCCTATCGAGGAACGCTCAGTTCTTGTCGAGGATAGCCTGAAATAAGGTAGAGCCGAGGGAAATGATAGGGTAACCCCTGCAAGGTAAAACCATATCAAAAATCAAGTATAAGCCAAGTCACTGAAACTTCACGAAAAAGTGCCATGCATCGTATTCGGAAAGGAACTGTCACGAAAGGCCTAGCTTCACGGAACGATGATGATGATGATCTTGCTCCGACAGAAACAAACCTGTACGCTCTTTGTATGGAGCTTTGTAGGCAAGATTATGCTCAGGCCGGTTTTGTCCATTGGGACTTGTAAGTCTCACGATCCTTCTAACTCGGCTAGTGATACACGTCACCAGAAGCTAATTTGAAACCAAACAGCTGTATCACCAGATGCAATATGAGCTTTCATCAGGACAGAAGTCATGATCTGAACATGAACTATATAAGGAGATATGGGATTGCTAGATTCGCATCTCTGGCTGCGATTAGACCACTTATGGCGGCAGCGAAAAATTGGTGAAGGAATGACGGGTTGCCAGTTGTTGCCGCCTTTTGTGACGCTTCGGACATGGTTTGGTGGATTACGAAATGGCTAGCCGGGCTTGATTCCATAGAAACGGTTCCTCGCAAATTTATGATTGCACACTCTCTGATCATCACTTCAACCACTTAGCCAGCCGCCGCTAGAATCGTCTGCCAGCAATGCGTGTGTCGATACCTACGCGTGATAGCTTCTCTCTCTGGCCAAAGGACTGCGCCATGCTTCCGTGAGATCAATTCAAGCACAATCTTCTCAAAATCGTCCCAGCGTCCCGTAGTATGCGTGATCTTTGCTCTAACTTTGTTCTGGTCATCCTTATTTGCAGTGTCTTTCACAATCTGGCGTAGTCGACTGACTTGCTCCTTATCGCCAGTCATGAACTCTAGCCGGGTTATCGCGAGTGAGAGAGCTGTATCTCCTGCCTCGATCTTGTCTATTGTTGCATTACGAGGCCAGCTTTCCGCGTCGTAGTATCTTCGGTATCTTTTTGACATTCTGAAGAGTGCTTTTCCCGCCTCTGACAGAGGCCCTGCACCAGCGATAGACTGGAAACGGAGCGCACCACCATGAAGGAGGGTCTTGACAGCAGAAACATCACCTAGCAGTGAGGCCACCATGAGCGGCGATATGCCATCAGGTGTTACCTTATTCGGGTTTACGCCAGACTCGAGAAGCTTTGCAACTGTGTCTCCCACCGCCAGATGAAGAGGCGTTGCGCCATTGACACCTGCAAGTGTTGGATCCGCCCCTAGATCTAAAAGTCGTACCATCAACTCAAGATTACCCGTCATGGCAGTGATCATCAACGGGGTTTCACCGTCACCATTGGGACAGTTCATATCGGGGCCCTTAGCGAAGATGTTATCGAGGGCCTCTGAGATATCAGGATAGTCTTTGCTAATCGGGTCGCAGTAGACTCTACAGGCAAATTGAAACGCTGTTTCTTTCTTTGGGCCATATTGGCGCGATGATCGATGGGGATTTCCGTGCCACATTGCGTCAAAAAGCCGCAAGTCACGCAGACCCATGGCTAGAAAGAATGGAGGAAGGCCGTTATCTGGCGTCGCGATGATGTCAGCCCCCATTTGGGTCAGCGTCACGGCTAGGTGCCTGAACTTCTTTTGGAGACACAGCTGCAAGGGGCTGGAGATTCCCTGGAGACGGGCGCCGTCTGGATCTGCCCCTCGGTCTTTGAGCAGGGTTTCTGCAAGGTCCTCAAATCCATGCTTGATAGCGGTGTGTAAAATGGTGGAACCGTTGCTAAGGGTAGTATCAATGCTGGGGAGGTAGTGTGTAAGAAGCAGCGCAGATTTGATGCATGTGTCTCTTTCCGCCTCTTCCTGACTTTCCTGCTGAAGGAAATGTAGAACTCTTGGTATTCCATGTCGGGCAATGGTACCAAGAGCCACTTCGACGGCAACTGGGTCTTTGAACTGGCAATATTTGTCGCCGGTGCCAAAAGGCAGGCATTCCATTTCGACCAAAAGATTAAGCACCGGTACATCGATGCCCATATGTAGTAGGTACGTGGGGACCAGGAGCCCCGCGTCTTCTCCAGATAGGAAAAACTCGTGGCGTAGACAGTGGTGGTGTAGTTCATCTAGTCTTGAGATAATAGGGTAGGCCTCGGCTGTTGATATTTCCATGTCCACCTTATACTGTTTAATTATGATAATAGTTATCCGAAGGACCTCCTTGACGATGACGGCGTCGGAGCTACCTAATAGATGTCGGAACAATGGTCCGTGACGGTTGTAGAGGGACCATTTCGTTGCATCAGCTACGGATCCTGGAGACCAAGGGAGGCTAGATGAAACGGACGATACAGAACCGGACAGAAGGTTCTCCCAGAGTGAATAAATCAATGGGTCGATAGCCTCGGAGAAACATTTGGTCAGTCTGAGCCAATGTTTGCTGGCATACGGGAGAAATAAATGTATATCGTCTCGTATTTCCGATCGATACTGGTGTAGGTCATAGTTCAATCGCTCCAGATCTACGTTAGAAGCTCTAGCTCGCCTGTCGAGGGACATGATAGAAATGAGTCTCCTTGTCAGGGCGTTTGGACTAAAGATCGAGTTTGCCACAGCACCAGGAATTTTGTCAAACGAGACATTCTGAGCATGTGACAGGCTATTCTCGAATACCCCATAGTTGAGATAAGTGACACAGATGGCCCCGAGTTCAAACTCTGCTTGATGCAGACGAAAGTGGTAAGGAGAAGCTGAAGGCAACGCGGGGGCTCGGACGAGGTGTAACAGGACACTGTGATGAATGAACCTGATGCATGAGTCCTCCTCATCAATCTCCAATAGACTGCCACCATAAGTCGAGGCCAAAGTGAATCCGGAGGGATGTAGAGTCGAAGGACTCCATATCAAGGACCCGGGTTGGACGTTAAGAGCCACACGAAGCTCATCCAGAGAAAGGCATGGGTCTGCTGACGCGATGAGCTGGAAAATTCGTGATCCATACTTCAGGTCTGGGATTCTCAGCATTGCCTGATCAAACGCCTGTGGAAGATTTCGGGGAAGATTGTTGATAATGTCGAGGATGCCAGACTCAGAACGAAGCTCTCGAGTATATTTGGGGCAAATAGCCTCGATTTGTAACGAGAGCCAGAGAAACATGCCCTGAGAACCTGCTAGTAGCTGTTGCTTGACTAGCCCCTCAAGCCTGCTTGATATTGGCCTAATGAGCTTCCAGTTTTCGACCTCAGCCGATATGTAACTTCGCAGGTCTTCGGATCTGTCGACACTCTCGAAAGAAATAGTTTGGTGGATACCAATTGACGATACTGCAACGGATTTGCATCTAGATGTGGGTCGGGAAGAGCAGCATAGTTTGACTCGTCTGAACTGCATAAGTCGATAAAGTTGACCAAAAACTGATTCCACCTCTTCCAAAGGAGCTTCGTCCAGGCCATCTAGGACAAGTACACATTGCCAGGCTGATGGCGTGATTGAGAGCAAGAGGTCAATGCAAAATTCGGCGTGAAATACTTGATGCTTCATTTCGTGTTCATCTAAGAAATTGTCTAGGAAGCGGGCCAGGGTCGGAGTTCTCAAAACTTGGTGTACGATGCTGCCGAGGATATTGTGGTCTTGCCAGGTTGTTTGATTGCTGTTCTTGCAAAAGAAGAACGCTACAGATTGGAGTCTCCTTGAATCCGGCGTAGCTAAATAATTATGGCTGGTCAGCTTCTTCGAGAATAAGGAATCGGCAGTGGAACGGGACCAAGCCATGTAAAGAGTACGTGGATATGTAAACGACAGGGAAAGTGATTGACTGACTCTCGCTAGGGTCCTGATGTGCCATCAAACGATCTGCCACCACGGAGGCCATGGTGACAGTCTTTCCAGATCCCAAGTTGCCTTGAAGCCACAATGTTGCTGAAGTCTTTGTGCTAAGCCATTCTTGATAGCTTTTGTCGTTGAAAATCCAACAAGAGGTCCCCTTTTTTCTCTCCCTCGTCCAAATGGACTCGAACTCCTTCTGATTGGGGGCCAAGGCCTCGAAAAGCCGATGCGCACGCGTTTCTCGGTCCCGATTGGCGGCATCCCGCGAGATCATAACCTGAAACCGGCTGATTCTTTCGACTGAAGACGAGTTGCCTTCAACGTTGGCTTTTGCAACGAGTACCGCTACCCGATTTTCGATCAACTGACCCCATGACCGCAAGTCGTCTTCCAGTGGTTTGAAGACTGAGTCAAAGGTGGAAGTGAATGACGTCGCAAGCTGAGACGCAAATGATTTATGGGCGTCGATGGTGATCTTTTTGCATATTTTGATGAAAACGATGACATACTCGCACATGTACGCCTGAGTCTGACGACAAGTGGGAAACAGCAAAGCGAAATCCTTGTGAAGAGAAGATGATTTACCAATCCTCATTAGAAGAGTTGAAACTTTATCGAAATACGACAAAAAGCTTAGCGATATCTACGATTCCTGTCAGCTGCCCCAATTTTGAGATGACAACATGCAATGAACTAGTTCGGAAGAAGATTTGAAGTCAATACCTCGAGAGTCATCCTGACCGTGGCCCAAACCCCAGACGCTAAGAGGTTCTGGGCGCCTCCAACAAGGACGTCGCCAATAGGGGCAAATTGACGAATTCTCTCCAGAATAGTGACGAGACGGGTGGCGTTCGGCCTCCAAGACCGGTGGCGGCGTGCTCCATCTCGATTAATCTCTTCGGTCAATTGCAAAACCTCCATGGCGTTTGGTGGGCTTCTTGTCTGCAAGTTTTTGAAGCGGATGTGAGATTCATTTGGATGGCGCTTGAGAGAAACGCTGAATTCCGAAATAGTTTGAGCCAGACGAATCTCAGGTTTCAGTTTCCCTACGGTCGCTACCGCCGTAGAAATGTTCTCCATTCTTCGAGTTTTAGATTCATTCCAAGAGTTGATCAGGCAGTGGTGTAGAGACTGAAGCTTCCAAGGTGGAAAATTGGCAGTTCAGCGTAGACTGAAAAAGTCCTGAGAGAGCTTGAAGGTTGGACAAGCGTAAGCAACACGGAAGGTCTCTTGTCTCGTGGTGAGCTGGTCAGACCGAGCCGTAGGACTGCTTAGGTGGCAGTGCCTCAATGCGACCGCTGTGTAACTGTATCGAGGCCTTCATTCCAACTCATTGGCTGTCCAAAATATCGACCAGTGAGCTTTGAAGGATGCATGCAGCTCATAAGACAGCGGGCGCTAGGGGTGGCTAGGCATCCATGAAGTCTAAGGCGTCGTGCTTGTCTTCCCGGACGCACAGTTGTTCAACCCGGTCAAGCCGGCTTGGCTCCCAGGCGTTGACTGTATCGTTCGCCTTGAGGCAGAGGGTGGTCGTAAAACTTTCGACCCAGGTATGTGATAAGAATCGACGCGCGAGATTCGTTCTATTGATAGGCTGAGAAAAAGCGATAGAACAAATCAGTCCCCAGCAAACACCGCATGCTATGCATATAGATAGTACAAGTGAGTCCGCAAATCTTGAGTGCCGCCCTTGGCACTAATCTGAATCATCGCTATTACTTTTTTCCACCCAATTCTGAGCCCTCGATGCAAATTTAGAGATACCCAAGACCAAAACGCCGGCGAGGAGTGCAGAAGTTGCGGCTAAGGAGAGATCAGTATGCGAGTAAAAGGATGAGAATTGTCTTGAGGGACTTACTGATAGTAAAAGACCAGCCGACTCCAATGGCGTCGATCATTGGTACCAGACCACCAACGCTGCCAGCTCCGAAACTGTACTGAACGATGTATTTACTACTGATGACAGCTGTTCTGCGTTCCGGCATTGCCTCTGATGAAATGTGTCAGTCCAGGTTCAATCATCGAAGACGCAACAAGATGCCATGGAAGGTTTACCGGCGGAATATGTGTTTAGACCGCTAAAAGACCACATGAGGCCGAGGCCCTCAAAGAAGCAGCTGATGATGGGCAAAGCGATCCCGCCAACCTCCTTTTGTACACTCCACCCATAGATCAGAGTACCGGCAGGGAGAACGAAGAAGATTGCTGGCAAGCTGCTCTTGAGTCTATCCTGGGGCAAACGGAGACCATTACGTTTCCGGATGTATCGCTTGACAGTGTGGTCTGAGACTCTACCACCAATCGTGCTTCCCATGAGAAAGCCCGCTCCGGGAGCAAGATAGAAAAGTCCACTGATCAGAGGCGTAGTCAGGCCGAACCGAGGGTTGATGACTCGTCGTATGGAACTCAGAAGACCATATTGGTTGAATCCCAGGAGTCCACAGGCAAAGTTCTGCGAAAAATATCAGAATACGGGCTAGAGTCGAGTTGAGGAAAGGGGAAAGAGCAACTCACGGCTGCAACGATGTTGGGATACCTGAACTGGCGGAGAACACCCATCGGGTTGAACGCGTGGGCCAAGTCACCCAAAGACCGAATAGGAGCTCGTTCTGCGACAGCGATCTTGAGATGCGCCAGTTGACTCGCTTTTGGCACGAAGAAGAAGGCCATGATGAGACCGAGTAAGGTCATACCAGCCTGAACCCCATAGATGACTCGCCAACTGGTGAAGGTCACGATGACGGCTCCCGTCAACGGCGCTGAAAGATCATCAGTTTCAGGCGCTTGGGCACAATGCTAAAGTAGTTAATCAACGTACCAATTGCGTTTGCCGCCACGCAGCTGCCTAAGAAACAGCCCACTGCAGTCCCGCGAGTTGTCTAAAAAGCAGTTAGGCTCAATATGCTGGAAAGATCTGGCTCTATACCCAACTCACAGGCTCAAAGATATCTGCCAAGATGGTTTGACCGGCAACTAGAAAGAATGGGCCGGTGGTTCCTCCGATGACCCAAATCGCCGTGAAGCAGGCAAAGCTATTTGAGAGCGCCGAGCCTATCGAACACAAGGTCAAAAGGCAGTTAGCCACGAGGTAAGTCGTTCTGCGACCAAGGATGTTACTCGTCGGCAGCCATATCAAGGCAGACATAGCCATGGCAATGAAGACGCCAGCATTAGCTGTAGTGATGGCATGCGTTGAGACGTTGAAGTCGGCAGCAACCTCGGACGTCGCTGTCAAGATGGAGCTACCGGAGAAGGTGACAGGCAAGGCCATCCAGCAAACCACCGCAAGCGTAACCCATTTCTTCCATGTTGGCATCGCCATCACCTCGTCATCTGCTGCGGCCACGGGCCGAAGAGGGGCGGCGGCGGCCGGAATGGGGCCGGTAAGCGGATCGGGGCTGAGTTGAGGGATCATAACAGCGGCGGTCAAGTCGTCCGGCTTTTCGGCATCTGGGGAACCCATGGCGAGGTAAGTCTCATTAAAGATCGGAAAGCAAGCTGATATCTAAGCTATAGTATCGTCAAAGGATGAATACCGCCTCGGGGAGTCTTCCGAATGTATATAGTCGAGAACTCCTGCAGCTCTCCGCCCGTCGGAGGTACGCCTTCGGCAGGCGAATTTTCTTCCATTTTTTCACTACACCTTCTCTGACTCAAATGTTTCGTTAAGTGGGCCTTGTAGGGCGACGTGATGCACGCATGGGCGACGTGATCAAGGCCAGCCCGGATTTGTAACGGAAATGCGAGTGAAATAGGGCACCAGTGGTTGGTTGTCTGGTCTGAGTAGTCGGCAACATGGCATGAAGCCGGCTTGAGAAACTGGTTAAACCCCTGGACAGTTTGTGGGGTAAGGATCGTGACGGAAAACTCGGCAAAACTCACATTACGCCGATAATGTGGAGAAATCGCAGTCTTTTCTCGGCGTATTACGCGATTTACGCCGAACTATCTCGGCTGGGCTAGAGCTTTCTCCCCCAAATCTCTAGCTGTGACGACAAAGAAACCTTTACCAAACTAGTGCTGATGAGTTTCACGCAGCGGTAATATTTTAGAAATACGTCACAAGTCATTGCAACTTTGGAAGGTGAATGGGCGTCTTCAAATATCCCTTGCGCCCCTCGGTATCCCTACACGTTTCCCGAAAGCAACGGACCTCACGAGGGCAATATCCTAATCCGGCATACCGGTCGACCACCATGACATCGGAAGGCGACGCGTCCAGTGCGGAGGATAGGGTTGCTCTGAGATCCGCTCCGGTATCCTCATCGGCTTCATCACGACCAAAGACCAAACCTACCGCGTGAGTAATACAACTTATCGCGCCGCAAAGCTGCGGAAGGTTTTCTGGTGGTTAACAACGGCGACTCCGCCATGGTAGGTGTCGTAGGTGTCACTCGCGCAAAGTGAGATGTTCCGGTGGTCAACCGTGTGAGAATTGTCGCCAAGCAAGCAAGGGTGCAGAATGCACATACCCTCGGCGCAACCGTATGGTAAAAGTCAGCCAGCGGTAGGTTAGAACCAGAGATGTTCACACTTCGGGCTCGCGTCTCTAAGAGCGACTGGTTATCAGACTAACTCGATTTCCCACAGCTATATCGATGACCTCATTGCCGAAAACCAACGGTTGAAGAGCAACAGCGGCATTGGAAGTCAACCTCGGGCAGCCAATCTGCTCCCAGATCTCGCAGTCGTTGCCCCGGTAAAGGAGACAACAGACAATAATGCAACTGCCATCCCAGCGCCATCGCTTGATGAGCGACCATGGTTCTTCGACATGAATATTCCGCACACGCCAATCCTCATCGGCGAGGCCTCAGACGCTGCATTCGCGACCCGCTTCCGCCAAGCAATCTCATCAGCCGAGAGTAGTCACATCCCGCGGGTGAACTATGCCACAGATGAGAGGCTGCTCGCTCTGTCTGATACAGACTGCCCTTGGCCTAGTCCGGCAAGAGCACGTTTTCTCGTCGGGGTTGCCCTGAGATATGTCAGCCGCTGCTACCATATTATTCGCAAGAGCTCAATTTTGGATGCCTTGGAACAGACACTCCAGAACCCTGCTGAAAGCGATTCACTTCTCAAGAGTAAGCTGTGGGCAATGTTTGCTATCGGCGCCATGTACTCGACCCGGTCTGCCACGTCGGAAAAGCACTTCCCTGGCATGGGGTACTTTGCACGGGCAACTCGCATCCTTCGCATCGTGAGCGAACGACCGAGGATCGATGTTGTCGAGTTGAGATTATTGCTAGTAAGATCGCTTCGATAATTGATTATTTCCGATCGTCTCTAACGTTTTGACAGTCTTTCTACTCTCTTGCACTGAACCGGCGACATACCGCCTACACCTTTGCCGGCTCCGCGACCAGGCTTGCTGTTGTCATGGGCCTTCATCTCAACGTTCCTGAGACGCAACTCAGAGATGCGGCCGCCCGAGAGCACAGGGTTAGAGTTTGGTGGACAGCATACATCTTTGACAGGATGTGGGCAGCCAAGCTAAGCCACCCAGTTGCCGTCCAAGACATCGATATTGAAGTGAATCTGCCGTCGAATCCAGTTGTCGACGATAACATAGCGGATGACTTTGCCGATGCATCATATTTCGTTGCTAGTGTAAAGCTTGCTGGCTTATTGGGAAAGGTGGTGCCATCCATCTATCGAAGAAGGCTACAAGATACCTCCTTATCCCACAGAGTCCAAGAGGCGTTGAAAGATCTTCGTGGGTGGTCTGCAGAGCTACCGCCGGAGCTTCACATTGACTCGAAGCCTACATCGGAACGAATGCCAAAGCCCATCTCGCTACATCTTAACTTTAACCAGGCAAGTAAAGAAGTGATATTGCCAGACAAGGTGTCACAAAGCTAACTTCGATTCAAGTGCGCTATCAGCACCACCCGCCCGATTCTGCTCCACGTGCTGCGAACGCATGTAGCATCTTGGGGAACACCAGAGACCCCAGAACCACGAGTTCCGGCCACCGCCATGACGCTTGCAGAAACTTGCATACGCTGTGCTCGTCACACCTGCCGACTACTGACAGAATGCTGGATCGATGGGTCATTTGCAACGTTTGACTACTTCTACACGCAGTATCTCTTCTCGGCTGCCACCATCCTCGCTGCATCTAGCCTTCTGAGCGGCAAAGAGAGTCACAATGACAGAGAACAATTTGAAGAAGCAGCTCAGTTCTTGTCTCAGCTGAAGGATAATGGCAACTATGCAGCTGAAGAGTTCTGCCATCACATCGACGCTATGAAGCCCACAATGGCCGCAGCTCATGTACGCCGCGGCGATTTTGCCGTGGCGGGAGATTCGACGGCTTTGCTGAACGACACAACTGCCGCTTTTACGGACACTGCAGTCAACCTCAACCAACCTTTTGCGGAGCAAAACACGACCGCCGGTATGGCGCTCAACGAACCATCTTTGCAGGAGCTACTGGCGCAGCCACTGCTCGACTTGCAGTTCATAGATGCGTCGATCTACAATGATGGGGCTCAGGGGCTTTACTGGCCAGACTTCAGCCCGGAATCATGGACGCCCGAGACGTGGACAGCAACTTGAGTATCAGCCCGATGACAATTAAGCACACGGAGATACACTTGACACGCAGAGTTCGGACTACGAGAAACAATGATTAGGGTTCCAAGCTACGATCATTCTACATATAGACTGCGGACACTGTTCCCCGGCCGATTTTGGTACATATGTTTCATCCCAGTATGGCCAATTCTCAAGTACTTTTTACCAAAACTTGAATGGGATCGCCAGTCTTCCAGCCGCATTCGGCGTCGCACTAGCAGAAGCCGAAGAGCCCGAAGCACCTGATGCCGTGCCGACTTGTGAGCCAGTAGCGGCTGTCGTCGCTTGAGTAGTCGTCGTCACCGTGACCACGTCGGTCGTCGCGGCTGTGGCAGACACGCTTGCACTACCTGTGCATGCCTCTTCGCCAGATACAATGGTGTAGCTGGTGCTGCAGCCCACCCTAGGGCAGGCACTCTTGTCGCAACCGAATGTGAAGGTCTCTGTCGCAGCTGCACTAGGGCAGCCGCATGACTGCGTCAGAGTCGACACGGTCAAGCATTGCGGTGCCTCTCCGGTGCAACTAGGACACAGGGATAGCTCCGTCGCCGTGGGGCACCCTTCTTCTACCACCGTAGGAAGAGGCACCGGGGTAGGGAGAGGAGTCAATGAATCAGTTGGCAGGATCGAGTAAAGAAACGACTCCGAACTTGTTTGGGCAACAATTGGTGCCGCGCTATCAAAGTCAGTAATATGTCTTGATTTCGAATATTGACAGATTCATACACGAAGATGAGAGTTGCTACATGGCTGACCACCTTCATTTTGATTATTCCGAACTTTGCGGATTAAAGATGGAGAAAATGTTGTTTGATCGTATCACTGAATGAAACTCAAAGCGAATTGATGAGAGAAGAAGCCAGTCCCACGGTCAGCCCAGCGCGCTCCAGCTCTTATGAAGTCACGAGCCGGTAACACCACCGGCGATCAACTCCTCCTAACAAGACGGCCGTCATTCGTTCATAATCGTCGGTGTACAAACCACCATCCTTTTTCGGCATTGGGGTCTTGGCTTGCAGGGATGCCATTGCGGAGAGCCCGTATCGACTGGCCACCAGCCTCTTTGATTCTGTACTATTGCAGCACCCTTCAAGGGAAAACACGCAGTTTTGATGCGACCAATCCATCAAAAGCAAGAGTCACACCAGCCGGAACTTAGTCTTTCAAGGCGCTCCTCCTTACGTTTCAGAAGTACGTGGACACATCTAGGGTGCTGATGCCAAGGACTACCAGCCCGCGAATCGTTCATTGTCTTCACCACCTTCCTATAGAGGCACAAATGCATTGGCTCGTGCCCGCGCGAATTATGACGCAGATTGCCAATTGTACTCGCTTGTCCACTTGTGTCAATAGGTATATACTTGATACCCAAACATACATGTACATGCTCGTCTTATTGGCGCTTGTCGGCAATCTTTTCCTCGGACGAGCATCTCTCTCGCGCCAGGTTTCCTCCACTGCCAATCCCTCGAGCCTCAAGGGTAATGTCATGAGCGTTGTGTGGCATCCCATCAATATCTAGTGTTCCTTCTGCGTTGGCTCTCGAAAAGATAATGCCAGGCATGACGGGATAGTCGCCCTCGAGTTTCTTATGGTCAGGAACGAGAACGTTGAACCAGCGGGGCATGATCAGCCCAACAAGGGAGCTGACAAGAACAATGTGCATAAAGGTAAACCCAGCAATATGCAGCGGATCCATCCGGTTCTTGGCGTAGAAGTTTGGGTAGGAAAAGGAGAATATGATCGCAACGATCGGTGCCGTGTTGTACTTAAGAACGAACCCCCAAATAGCCGGGATCTTCCACTGGCCGCCGATGGCGATCGTGGCATTAAGATCTCGGCGCAGTTGATTGCCCTGAAGTCACCAGTAAGCAAGGGAGCCAACACCGTGCAGAGAGAAGCTGAACGCAAGTACGTACAGAGTAGGATGTGAGATACCAAAAGCGTCTCAAATAAGTATTCTTCGAAAAGAATCTGGGTGTGTAGGCTGTAGGGTTGGAAGAAGACAATACTGAAGATATTATGCCGACAATAAACATCCCGAAACCAGTCCCTGCGCCTGCTTCAGGGGATACCGCGTGGGCGATAACGAGGCCGATCACAGTACCTCCAATATAGCCAAAGATATTATACAAGCACCAAGATAGAAGACCACACTGATCAACAACATCGCGGTAGCGGTAGAGCGTGGTCGCACACACAGCCTCACACCATACTATCCAGAAGAGAGCCAAGTAGTTGATCCATGTATCCGCCGCGTCAACGAGAACGTATCCAAACTCTGTGCAGAATGGCAAGGAGATGAGGAAGGAGGCAATAACTATGACGGACGACACGTAAGGCCGGGAGAATTTCTTGCCCCAGTCTGTATCGCAGACCATGGTCACCAAAGTCTCCAGGAGTGCAAACGCTGATCCGAGCCCGAGAATGAAAAGAGTGGCAAAGAAGAGCACGCCCCAGAAGTTTGCACCAGGCATCTCGGCGATGGCCTCCGGATATGTGAGGAATCCGACGACAAAAGTGTTCAGTCTTTCGCTGGTATCCGGGTGCATGCCGAGGTACCCAACGATCCCGAAGACAGACATGGAGCCAATGACCTCGATAAGAGAGTTGGAGATGCAGATAATGAGAGCGTCTTGGACTGCATTCGAGTACTTGGAGTTGTAGGAAGCGTAACTCGTGTAGTATCTGAGACCCATGTCAGTGGAAGTCACTCTTTCAGGGAACTCAAGGAAGCGAGATGTCACCCCATGCCGATTCCAGTGCTGAAAAAGACTTGGCCGCAAGCCTCTTGCCAAATGGTGCCCGAGGCAAGCTTCTCCCCATGCCACTCAGTCCAATATATTCTGATGCCGTCGATGGCATTTGGCAGAGAGCAGCCGCGTCCAATAAGAACGATCATAAGGATGATTGGCATCGCCATTGTGAAGTATACCACTCGGCCAGTAAGTCCGATGCCCTTGAACATACACAGCCAGACAACTGGAATATCATCGAAAGATGTCAGCTGAGACATGAAAGTAAGTTCAGCAAAGCCTTTTACTCACCAAACCATGTAAATAGGTTCCACAAGGTAGTCTCGGTGACCATGCCCATTCCTGGATAAGCCGTGTAGTCTTGGACCGCGTTGCCATCTGCCGTCAAGTTTCCAGCGACAGGTTCCACATTCTGAAGAACGCTGCCTTCGAAGAACTCGGTATTGCGTCCCGTCCATGGAAGTGGGCTGTGAAAAGAGTATCGAAAGTATGTCATTATCCAGGCGATTATCGGAACGTAGTAAATCACAATCGCATAGCCGATATAAACGACACCGAATCCAACACCCTTGGCACGCTTGTTGGCATGATGCCACGCAAGGACGCAGCCTCCTCTGTACGCTTGACCGATGCTGATTTCGAGAAGTAACGTTGGTATGGCCAGACAGGAGAGAGAAATAAGATAGGGAATGAAGAATTGGAGTCCGTGATTGTTGAACACGATTGAGGGGAACCGCAAGAGGTTACCGAGACCGACTGCCCCTCCCATCGCGGCGAAGATGAAGGATATACGCGAGCCCCAAACATCACGGCCGTCTTCGCCTTTGTCGGCACTCGGCGCGAAGAGATTGTAGAGCTTCTTACCGAAGTTGAACATTTTCATCAGAGATGATTAACCTAGGCTAGAAAATGGGGGAGAGTTCACGAAAGCATTGGGGCGGCCATCACGTTCGGTATGATGCCCTCTTATACCTTATGATGCATCCTTCAGCCCCAAGCCAAGCAATTAGGAAGTAAGCCAGAGTTACATCTGAAGACTGCTCTGGGCACTCTCAGTATCCTTCGAACGAAATGCAGAGCAGGGCAATGTGCGCTAATAGCTATCGCGCATGTCGGCACAGCGCTGTGATAGAGGATTGAGGTGGTCGGGGTGCTGGGGCGCACGATAAGCCAGCCAAGTCTCTTGGTTGTCTTGTCTAAGATTACGACCTTCCAAATTCCAACCTGAGCCTAAAGACCTCAAGGTTATCACAAGCTACAAATCTAAATTCGGATTGGATGAGACGCAAAGCCGAGCCGTGGCACACTCACCGGATCTTGACTCTTGAGAAGCCCGGGACCTCCTCGGCTTTCCGGCTGTACGCTGACGTTCGCCCAGCTCGCCGGCGCCATCATCGATTCACCTTGGCTCACGAAAATTACCATTAAACTTGCGAGGAGACTCAGTTTCCCCACACCTTGGCAGACACGCGTCGGTATTAGCGGCCAAGAAATTGATGACAGCCAAAGGTCCACCGAATTCGGCCAATGTACATGCCCAAGATTTTGGGCTGTTAAGCAGACCTATAGAAGAATGTGATGCTGCACCGGATCGTTCATCTAATAGGTCTCAAGACAGTCGCTTTTGATTCGGCAACATCTATGTCGTTGTTCTTATCAGAGCATCGTACGTGGCGATTCTTACTGGGCCCTGCTCAGAGTCGGGTGTTTTCGCAGGTCTTGGGCTTGGAAGTGCTTGGAAGATGGAGAAACTGGAAACAAGCCAAAGACGAAAAAGCCGATCGGTGAAGACAAAACCTGTCTTCTTCAGGGATACCATGATCTTTGTGTGCAAGTGATGTCGTATTCAAGTCCTTCCCCTTGAATGATGCTGCTATCAGCAGTAGGCCCGGGTTCGAGACTCAAACGGGCTGAGACCATCTAATTCCCATAGCCTTTCTACTACAATCGTTCCTTTAAGTTGATACAGCTTAGTCAGATGCAACAAGTGCGTCAAGTCCGTCGGAAGACGGCATGAAACTCCGACCATCTGAAAGTTCAGCTCAATTCATCAAAGCGTCACATAGCTGGTTGCCGAAGTAGGTTGTCCCGGATGGAAGAACAGAATGTAAGCTTTGTTGTGCTTACGAATTGCTATCAGTCTTAGTAATGAGCTCATAGTTGCAGTTGCCCGAAGAAGTAGGAGTAACTCTTGGCGCATTGTCCGAGGCATCTGATGATTCTCACAAAGTAATCGGACTTTGAAACTATAAAAGCAGAACGCTTTCCATCAAGATTTCTTGCTGCTTTCTTAAGTTGTGTCTTTAATACCAACAGCAATTACATCATTTCCTACCCGCCAGTCTCTCCCCACTTTGCCATCAAATTCCAGCAATCAAAATGTCGTCCGTCTCGAAACAGCCCGTCAACCTCGTGTTGGGGGTCGCAAACGTAAGCTGCTCGACCGAATGAAAGATATGTGTACTTTTTTTGAGCAAAGCTAATGTTTGCAGGTCGGAGATTCATCTGCTGATCCCATGGCACGCTACGACACGCCCGACCAAGTGAACGCATTTCTCGACGTCTTTGCTCGACGTGGGTACAACCAGCTTGATACCTCGCGCATGTACTCACCCCAGGCGCCCACAAGCTCGGAGCCCAGACTCGGCGCCGCCAACGCCGGCGAGCGATTCAGCATCGACACCAAGGTCACGTCCAGATCGCCGGGATGTCACAGCAAGGATAAAATTCTGAAAGAGATTGACGAGTCTCTCAAAGCGCTGAGAATCAAGCAGATCAACATTGAATATCTGCACGTGCCCGACCGAACAACACCATTTGAAGAAGCGTGTGAAGCCATGAATCAAGCGATCGGAGAGGGTAAGATCAAGAAATGGGGGATCTCAAACTACTCCGCTGCTGAGGTCCAGCGGTTTGTCGACATTTGCCAAGAACGAGGTCTCGTCAAACCCAGTGTGTACCAGGGTCATTATAATCCGCTCGTGCGAGGCGGGGAGAAGGATTTGTTTCCAGTATTGCGCGAGAGTGGTATCGCCTTCTACGGATATAGCCCCGCCGCGGCTGGGTTCTTTGCCGGCAACCATAAGAAGGTTAAAGCGGGCGGACGATATGATACATCGGTGAGACTTTCCTACTCGTCTCGATTAGATTTCGAGAGACTGACCAAGTATTGTGTGACCTTCAAGATTCCTGTGGGTAGCATATACGCAAAGTTCTATGTCAAAGAATCCATCATGACGGCGACGGAGAAGGCGATCGAAGTCGCGTCTAGATACGGAATCGGCGGCCACGCTGCGGCACTTCGGTGGACGGTATATCACAGCATTCTCAGCAAAGAACACGAAGACTCGGTGATCATTGGAGCGTCGAGCCTCGAGCAGCTGGAGACCAATCTCGACATGATCGAACAAGGACCACTTCCAGAGGATGTGGTGTCTGCTCTCGAGGAGTTGCACGAGCAGATTGCTGACAAAATCCCATACCACATGTAGTTACGATGCGTCAAAGCCTTAAGTAGCTTCATCCAGACTAGTACCAGCGGCTAAGCTCAATAGAGTAGGAGTAGATCTTGGCAATGCTGACTGCATATACCGAGACATCAACTTCACCGCTGACAAATGGCAGTGCTTACCTATTTGTATTTGGCTAGTGACTGTTTTACGACTTTTATATCTTGTTCTCGTTACGATAATATTCGATTCAATAAAGCCAGGCCCTCAAGAAACAAATTGTGTTGCTGCAAAACACTTTCTTTGATATCTGTTACGCTTCCCAGCATGGAGTTCATCGTCATAGTGCATCCTAATCAGAGAAGATCAGCTCGCTTGAAGAAACAGGCCCACGCTCACGCAGCACGGGTGACCCATGCACGATCAAGAAAACGTCAGGCGGCCCGCCATAGCGATCAAGAACCGGACATCAAAATTGACGCTCGGGGTCGATCAAGGAATTTGAGGCAACCAGAGGAGAAGGGAACCAGCCGTCCACAACAAGAGCTCGTCGAATCGCAACATCTGGCTGAGCCTTCGATTCCAAGAACTGTATCTGGCGCATTCGAGCATGAGCCGTTGGCTAGCTTTCTGAAGTCTTCTACAGCCGAAGAAAAAATGCTATTCTTTTACTGTACGTCACAATATACATCTTTCATGCCACTTTTGAAGGCCATGCGAGGCCATTGGCACTGTAAGAGTGCTGAATTCTGACGGTCGTAGATGGTCAAGTTATTGTCCCCAATATGGATTTGCAATGTCCTATTCTGTGCTACCTCGGCGAGAACTTCGATCACATACGGAGGAACTGGTTGCTCTGTGGCTCTACCGACATTGATCTCTTGCAGGGATTCTTGCTTGCAGCCAGCCGCCATATGTCCCTCATTCACGGCGAGCAGTGGGGAAACTGGGCAGCCAAGTATAAGCTTAAGCACATTAGCGACCTACGTCGTGCCCTATCCTCTGACGATATGTCATTGAGACGAACTGGTGTTGCGAAAGCATTGGTGTTGTCATTCGATGAGGTGGGTAAACTTCAACACAGCTTTTGATCCTTTGTTATTATTAAGTGCGCTGTTCCAGTAAGGGCTCTAATTCCGTTGTGTAGATCATGCTCTGTGACATGCACATGGCCTCAAAACATGTTCAGGGTGCTATCACAATAGTCAGGGATTCTGGAGGAATCGACGCGCTTGAACTAAGTGAAATTGTTCGTTGTGTTCTCTTCAGCTGCATGTTCGGCAAGGGCCTACTGGACGGGCAGCCTCTATTCGAATTGAGCCCGGCACCTCTATCTAGAAGTCAATTGAATATGGCGTAAAGCATACATTGAACGCTTCGTCAAACTCGCTCTAAGACCACGTTCCGTTTGCAGGTCCAAAGTAACCCACATCCGGCATCTGCAGCCACGGCAGGCCTTGCCCGTCGGCGGTTTCACTCCAGACAGTGTTTCCCCACCAATCAGGGAATTGGGCATTGGGGCCTACGTCAATGTTAGTCTCGTGTGCCTTAATAAGATCAAATGAGCTGTCTGTGCCGACTTACCATATGTGACAGCGAAGAAGATGACGATACCGCTGATGGCAAGTCCGGTGTCCAGCGCCGCAGCGAGGACGTAGTTGTACTTGCTCCACCAGGCGTAGAACTTGCGGTAGATGATCTTGTTGAAGATCAGGTTGACAATGTACCACGAAGAATAGTTGATACCGGTGGCCGGAGGCACGTTATAGGTTCCGACAAAGATCAGTGGCCAGTTGATCTTGCGAATAAAGTCAGACTTTGTCTTCTTGAAGATGAAATACGTAATCGGCGGCAGGATAAGTCCGATCCAGAAGAAGTGCAAGAGACCAGAGTAAATGGCGCCAACGGAGTAGAGACGGGCGGGCCCGACGAGACCCCAGATGACCGAAGACGAGAAAACGGTGCGACCGTTGGGGCAGGAGAAGCCGTTGGGCTGCTCCTCGGTGCAAATACCGTCGACATTGCCGAGCATCCAAAGCGTGACACCAGTCTGGGTCAATGCTCCAAGGATCGTAGCAAGACCTTGAGCAAAGAAGAGGGTCGTGGGCGGGATCTTGAGGTAGTGGCCGAGCTTCATATCGGCTGCGAAGTACAGACCTTGACCGACGACATCCGTGCTGAGGATCTTGAAGAGGATGTTGGCAATCGGTTTACCCTGGAACATATACCCTCCGATGAACTCAGAGAGCACGTTCAGCTGGTTGGCGTCCACGTTGGTGACGCCCTGGATCATGCCGCAGGGGACCATGTAGACTGCGGGAATGACGAAGGCGAGAATGACTCCCCACCACGGAAGACCAGTGTCGTAGCCCTCTGCGGTACCGACTGCCATGCCGAAGACGACCAGAAGAATGACCATCCACCACCACCACTTGACAGTCTTGTATGACTGCATCAGACGGGCGTGGATGTCGAGCTTGAGCGTTCCCTTCATGGCATGCACGATTTCATCGAAGTGGAAGAAGTAGACATGGGACAGAACACTATCGTGACAAGGTTAGACTACAGTTGTCGACAACTTTGGATTGACATGACTCAGCACATACCTCGTGATTGAAGCAAAAGATAGGCCGTATACGAAGGCGAACGTCGCTGGTAGATATGGGGGAGAGTACGAGGAGTACTTTTGCTGATCGAATTCGTTGTTCGTAAGAACCTCGGTGACGTTGTAGAGGCTGCCGAATCGATCGTAGACGTCGGCTGTGCAGAATGGCATGTACGAGGTGAACCAGGTGTTGGTGTAGTAGATCGCCGGCGTGATGATCCAGAAGAAGAACGCGAAGCCGAAGAAGACGTTCAGGGCGGCCCAGTGAGGACTGAGAAGCGGGTTCGTGTTGTATGCAATCATGGACCAGTCAAAAGTCAGAGGGAAGAGACCCATGCCAGTGACCATACCGAAAACTTGGTTGACGGCCAGGTTGTTTGGCGCAATCCAGCAAATCCAGGTAAAGTAGCTAAGGCCCGTGAAGATGAGACCTGGGAACCAGTACCAGACGAAAGCGCATCCACCCACGATCATGAAGAACTTGATGCGGGTGATTCTCCAACCGTCGGCAATGGCGTTGGCTCGAGAGTGCAGAGAGCTGAGGAGGGCGACATTGCTGAGCACGCCAGGCCAAATCATACTGGCGGGCTTGACGAGCCACGGCATAGCGAGACCTGCGACGGCGTATCCGCTAAGCTGGCAACACAAGACAACGAGCACGGAGAATCCTGGCGGGATGTAGAAGCCATACAGCCTGGCTGCTTGAATGATGTTCGTCGCATCAGCTGAGCCGAAACCAAAGGAGACATTGGACATGATTGTCACGAGGGCATGCTCCTTAATGTTGAAGTGCCGGTCGGGGTTGAAGCGGCTGATGGGGAGAATCTTGGCGAGCGCGACGCCAATGGGGAACGCAATCAGTTCTGCGACGAGAGATACAATGTGAACACCGGGGTATCGCAATGAGAAGAACTGATTCACGCCGGCGCCAAGGAAAACAAAGACCTTTGCGGCAAGTTAGCATTGAGTTCCTCCATGAATATGGATCGCCAATTGCGTACAATTCCAAGGAACCAGGCGCGGAACGTGTTGACGGGGATCGCAGTGTCGTCCGTCTCCGGTACAACGGCTCTAACCTGGGGAAACGGCGAGGTATCGGCATCGTAGTCCCCCTCACCCTCCTCGTCGAGCACCCGCTCCATATCGACCTCCAACTCCGCGAGATGTCCATTTTCGAGTTCGATGTCCTGGCCGTGGAGATTATGCGCCGTCTTGATATTGAGCTTCTCTCCCTGCGCCAACGACTTTTCAGGGTCCGCGTACTCTGGTGGCGTATGGCTGATGTCGGTTGCCATCTTGTTGAAGGCTCGGGGTTGCGACGATGCGATGGCGGCGAAGACAAGCAATCGCCCAGGAGTGCCAAGAGAGTAGCGCCCGGCGCGGCATCGTGGCCATTATGAAGGGCGGATGCTGGTTACACTAATGTAAATATAAAGGGCACAGAGTCGCATCGACTGATAGAAGCGATATGGTCCGATGCGCTATGCGCCGGACGCGTACGACAATCTCCTAGACATCTTCTCCCGCTTATCAGTTCGCCCCTGGTCGGTGGTCAGCCGATGATAGGATTCTCAAAAAGTGCCTTTGGGGACTTTGAAAAGTTCCCCAGATTACACGTTCGTCCACTCATGTTAGCTCTACGCACACAACCATCACGTATCGTAATGACTCTCCCGATTCCCCCAACCGCGGCTTCGGAACTGCGGCATTGGCCAATTGAGCATCTTGGCGTTATCTTGGCTCCATCTGCCGCTGCGGGGATCCGCCATCTGCTTCTGGAAGGCGACCAGGGATTCCTTTCTTAGCGGTCGGGTCCGGCACCACGGGATGAGGGAGGCATTCGGGAAACCTCGATAAGTTTGCCGTACTTCCGCGGTCTTTCATTCCCGAGCGATAAGACTAGCTATGATTAGCAGACCTAGAACGCGGCCATGACGCGTTTTAAGCTCGAGAAATATCTGCCCTTGGTTGACCTTAGCTTTGTTGGTTCCTGGCATGGCGGGGTCACCCTTTTAAGTCTCAACCCGTCAAGCTGTCATGCAAAATAGAGTTGTCACCATTGGACACTCATCAACAACAGTGAGCGCTGCATGCTTACCAGTTGTTAGGTGCTGACATCAGTCTTTGTGAGTTGACTAGGGGCACCGATTCCCCAAGCAACAGGTTAAGCTTATCCTGTCTCAAGACCAGCTGTCTTGTCTACAATCAGCTTACTCGTCCTCGAGAAAAGCTAAGTGTAACATCGTGCTTATGTGGAGAAAAGCCATCTTGCTCTCAACTCAGCCATTGATGTTTGCGTTAGTTGATATCGCGGGTACCAGATCCCCGTTGGTCGGGCTTTCCTAACTTGCATCATTTGTGTAATTCCCTGTGTGCATAACATTACAGTAGATTGACTGAAGGCATCAGAGCTGGTACACAACCTTCTCGCCGGAGATTGCTCCGTCCCGATACACTTGGAACCCTTTGTCTACACCATCAAGGCCCCCAGAGATGACCTTCGGCTTGTTAGGCTTGAACTTTCCAGTCTCAACCCATCCCGGGAGCTTTTCATAAAACTCGGTACCGAGTTTGTGGTCCTCCTCGCTAGCCTAATCTGCTGTCAGTAATCATTCTTCTTCAAAGAGTCATGCGACGACTGCAACTTACCGGCCATTTAAACTGAGCATACCGATGATCCTTCAGGAATGCAGTCCAGACCAAGACGTCGGTCACAGTCGTCTGCTTCGTAACGTTTTCGGTGTTGGCCTTCCCCGGCCGCACGGTGCAGAGCCGCCCGCCGCTCTCATCGATGGCTTGGGATGCCTGGCCTGAGGAAGACTTATTGCCGATGGTGTCAAAGACATATTTGAGGTTAGGCGTCGTCTTTTTGATGGACTCGATTACGTCATCGTCGCGGTAGTTGAAGACATGCTTCGCGCCCAGGGACTTGACCCAATCGAAGTGGCGAGGGCTGCACGTCGCGACGACTTTAAGGCCTTGCATCGCTGCTATTTGGACGGCGTACAAGCCAACGCTGGCTAGAAAGATCATCAGCAACAGACCGCACGTAGTCAGGCAGTATCTTTGGCCAGCATACAGCTACCGCCCCAGATAAGGACCGACGTCTCCGACCCACTCTCTCGAGGGATGGCGAGGCATTCTTTGGAGAACAGGGCTAGCCACGCCGTCATGGAAGCTAGAGGTAATGTGGCAGCTTCCTCCGGGCTTATGTTCTTGGGGATGCGAAAACTGATATTGTCGTCCGCGACGGTGTACTCGCTATAGCCGCCGAGACCCTTGATTTCACCTGAAGATGTGTCAGAGCTTGTTCGTAGCTGTTGATCTAAGAAGGACTTCTGACCTCCCCATATTAGGCCAGCAACAGTATCTCCCTTGGACAGCTTGCTGCACTTGTCGCCAACCGCTTCGACTGTCCCCACAAAGTCGCACCCAAGGACGGCGCCATCACCGAATGCATCGCCGTCAAGAGATTGAACTGTGAACTGGAGTTAGAAAGCTGTGCTGCTGTTGTCTCTTGGTCGAGACTAGACGACGATTTCTGAGTTACCGTCTGTCGGGTTTTGTGCAATATGTGACACTTTCACCAAAGCTTGATGCGGGGCAGGTTCGGGGACCGGAATCTGCTTCTTGACCATCTTCGGCGATCCCCCGGTCGAAGACTCGGTCACCAGAGCTTGCATTTGTTGCCCGACCATTTTTAACTGAGATAGGGAATAAGCTAAGCTTGCGACGCTACGCAGCGATGGTCCTTTTGTGAGAATCGAATATGAAGTTGAAATACAACAGTCTCAGCAGGTACGAATTATTGAGGCAATGGTACATGTAGTCGTCTTTCGCCCTTGCTTAATCAGCCTGGAAACCCCGTGGAAGTTGGAGCTTGGCACGCAAGGAAACTAAATCCCCCCTTACTCCGTAGTGCACTCAAATTAATAATAGGGCCCGTTCATGACGTCGCAGTGATGGAGAACAACATCAAAGAAATACCTACACCAAGTCAAGGCTATGCGCGCTAGATGATGGGAAAGGAAATACCAGCTCATCGTCTGCTGACTTCCTCAAACAAAAATTGACCATCTATTACTAATGCAAGAAGCTTCTCCCATCGGCCCCCTCTCACCGGTTTCTGCATTGCTCATGCATCACGCACAGGCTGCAGACAACGTCTCAAAGTATTCCCCCATCATCCACTTTGGCACGGCTTTGAAAGGCGCAAAATCTCGTAAGACTCGTCCTCCAGAGAGAAAACCCCATCCTACCTTACCCAAGACCAGGCCAGCTCTCCCGTCTCCTCAACAGCTCAAACCACATATCAGGCCTCACAACCTCGAAATCATCCCCCAGCTTCTTCACCATACTAACAACACTCGTCGGCGTCATGTCAAAAGCGCTCACAGCACCCGCCACAAAAAGAGGCCCACGACCCCTCCAATTATCCGAAATATTCCGCAACGTTGCCGCACCGCTCTCCTCGTTCCCAATACTCACCATGTTCGTCACGGGGAAGCCCTCCGTGATATTCACCTGCAGCGCATCTACCGTCGAAACAAATGACCCGTAGTAGATTCCTCGCAATCTATTCCTCCCCACAGCGTCGCGAAAGTCGAGAGTTAGCCCTGGTGTGAGTGGGTTATCGGTGGCGTTGATGCGGTCGTACACGAATAAGACATCATTCGTTTGTGTCGCTCGCATATATTCACCGCTCTGGGTCAAGAACGTGGAAAGAGCTCGTTTGGGCCAGACGCCAGGGTACGTATATCCCGCGCCATCAGGTCCGGCAACAAGCAAGTCATTCTCCGTAGCCGTTTTTTGATAATACGACAAGATGCCCGGCCCGATATCGCGTAGCAATGGGCTAATGGTCCAGCCAAGCGGAATTGATCCCCTCGCGGAGTCATTCCAGTGCTGAAACATACTGCGCTGGTCGTACTGTATGTTGTCGCCTTCGAGATAGACGAGGGACAATACGACTCTAGGGGTCTTCTTCGGAGGGGGCGGAGGAGGCCGCCATGGAGGTCCCCTCTGCGCAGACTGCTGAGATTGGCTTTCGGTGTTGAACCCACTAAAGATGGTCGGGTTGAAGTAGAAGTCCGTGGCGGCCACGTATAATCCGTTCCTTGCGAGTTGTGTGACACCGGTCATCTCATCGCCGTTTGGAAACCAGCCGAGGTAGGCCGCATTGGGCTGGAATTGGCGAAGGAGCTTGTCGAGCAGCGCGGCTTCCCGCGGCCTGTTGCTGTCCAGCCATATACAGGGAGCTGCTGTGCTGACGATATAATCGCGAAAGATGGAGTTGACCTTGTAGTAGCCCGGTCGTTCTGACGCTGCCGAAACGAGAAACTGATTCCACATGGATAGTGTGAGTGTGAGTCGAGCTGTCTGAGGTGGAACGTCAAACTTGTAAATCATTGCGGATGCGCCATCTGCGAATCGCCAGCCTCCTGGGTAGTCTGCCAGATGAGAGCCGCCGTCATCGAACAGAAAGGAGTCTTCTTCCTCGCTGCCGGGAGTGAAGTCTGCTATGGTTTTGTTTCCATCGCCGGTCACCTTGACATGGTAGACAGAAGGACCATAGCCGTCCGCGGGGAAAGCGTCCGTAATATTGACGTAGACCGTCCCGTTGCCATTGATGAAGGACGATAGATCTACAGTGTATGTGCCGTTGTTGGACGAGTCTGTAATGGAAGAGTTCGCCGTTAAAAGTGTGGTCCAGGTTCTGTTGGCGTACAATACGGTCGAAAGCGGCTTGATAGCAGTGATGATGCGGTCAGTAACCTTGGGCCACACCTCCCGGGCCGCATGATCGTAAAGCTCAAATTTGTCTTTGAACCGACCTCGCAAGTCTTCCATGATGGAGATGTTGAAGCGTTGAGCCAGCTCTTCAGTTGCGAGGACAGCGCTATAAAGACCAGCAAGTGTCGAAGCCAGATTAATCGTATCTGGCAGTTTCGTGTCGTAGATGATAGCACCCCGAATCTCAGACTTGTACTTGTCAATCAGTTGCAGCGGAGTGCTCGTCACATCGGCGCTCCGATATCCTTCACTCTCAAGTTGCCGCAGCCAGGCCTCATTGACCTCGTCGTCCGGAAAGGCAGAATCCTGCGACCAATAAAGGTACAATCGCGGTTGTCGTCTGTTGACCAGTCCTTGAAGCGAGACCAAGAGAACTTGCTCATCACCAGAAAGCGCAGTGAGTTTGGCATAGTCTATCTCCTTCGCAATCTCCGGAAACAATGGCAGGGCTCTGTTTCCTGGCCAATCAAGACCTGAGACGGAGGGCGAACAGGAAGAAAGTGGTATCAATAGGGCGATAGGCAGTAGAAAGAGATGGCGCATCTTGACATATGTTGTTGATAGCACCCTGTTGCCTGCCATAACCTAGTCATGAAGCCAACAAAGAGATACTGTTCCCTCCCAGCGAGAATCTTCCTCTTTCATTTAAAGAATAATTCGTACATTAGCCTCGCCTACATGAGACAGCCAGGCGAATGAGGCGAACGAAGCGGGGGTCAGAGATCGGACGAAGGTTTGCAACATGATTCTAAGCTTAACTCTGTTTCCATGACTAGCTCATTTCCTTGGCATCATAGGGTAAGAATGTCGAGAAGCTGGCACGGCTGGCCACACTCGCGATTCAGCCTTGCATGACCTAGCGATCCAAACCAACACAGATACAGCAACATCACGCACTGGAATTCTGGTACCGTGCTAGGTCCGATTTGAGACGAGCGCCACCACTTAAAGGCACACGAGAATGACGCTCAGCCGATCATCTGAACTCTTGCTACTTTTCACAACGCGCTTCTGGAAAGTAACTCATTAACTGCTACTATTATCTATACTGGTGAGGCTATGAGTTATTCCTAGACTAGAAAAGAAACCCTTACTGATTCCATGTGCTCTTCACATCCGAGCTTCATCCTTTTGCCATTTCCAACGGCATAGCCAAACATGCCGGACGACACATGAGTCTGTGGGCAGATAGTTCAAGCAGCCAAAATCTTTCAGCTTGCCATACCCCAGCGGGGGGCGTTGACGATGACGCCTGCGAGACATCCGGAGATGATACCAGCCGTAGGTAGCGTGATAATCCAACCCATGTAGATCCAGCCAACCATACGCCAGTTGATCGATCGCCAAGTACCGGAGCAAAGGCCGACACCTACGGTAGCACCAGTGATGCATTGTGTAGTGGATACAGGAAGCTCTGTATCAAAGTCAGCAATGCTCTGGCATGGTCAAGAGGGGTTCGTCAACTTACTGAGACGCGTAGCTAAGATAATTGTGCAGGCAGCACCCAACTCCATAGAGAATCCACGGGCAGGAGAGTGAAGGGTTAAGCGGTTACCGAGGTTGCGCATGATGTTGTATCCGTACGTCCAGATACCAAGAGCAATACCAGCACCACCGAAGCAGAGAATCCAGATCGGAACGTCAGACTTGCTGCCAGAGAGAACACCAGTGTTCCAAATTTGAAAGATGGTAGCGTAGGGTCCAATGGCATTGGCAACATCGTTGGCACCGTGCGTGAACGAAGCGGTGCATGCAGTCATGACTTGCATAAATGAATAGAGGAATTCGGCCTTGTTGTCGTAGTGTTGAACACGGGCGTGCATCTCCTCCAAATCGCCAGTGAGCACGCTCTCCTTCTTTTGCATGTTGATAATATCCTGGTCGACACCAGACAGGAAGACCTTCTTTACCATCCAGAAGAGAACATCGCCGTTGTGCCAGGGACCTTCGGGACGGGGTCCAACGATGGGCTTATGGACGTAGTCTTTACGGGGAGTACCGGTCGCAGGGGAGTCTGTGGATCCTTGGACGACCTTCTTCTCGCCATCAGCAGAGCCAGTCTCGATGTCATTGCTGGGGCTTTGAACAACACCACCGCTGCGAGCGACTTCTAGCTCCTCTTTAGTCATGTGCCCGGCGTAGAAGTCGCGGATTCCACCGCCATAGCCTTCGGGCTGAACAGGTGGCTCGGGACGACGGAGCAAAAGTGGGCCGAGGGCAATGTGATACCAACGCAGTTGCCAATCGTCCTTGACTACCACACGATAGAGCCAGGGGAGGAAGAATATCGTGATGAGGAGAGCCCAGGCGGCACCGACACCGACGATCATTCCCGCAGTTTCGGCATCGTTGAAGGTAACCTTGATAGACCCACCCTTCCAAACGATCAGCATGGTCAACAGGGAAGCGGTAATACCAAAGTACACAGGAACGAGAGCCAGTCCCTTCATGACTGGGTTCTTCCGCAACATGACGCCGTATTTGGTAATGGTAAAGATGATGGCTGCGAATGCACCAGAGATACCAGGGGCGATGATCCATGCAAGGAATACCGAAACAACGCCAGAGTCGATGCCGCCACTAGGGGAGACCCAATGAATGTTATCGGCACCAATAAGTGCGACACCCATGCCGATGACGCCTCCCATGATGGAGTGAGTAGTTGATACCGGGAGACCGATCTTGGTGCAAAAGGTAAGGTAAATTGAGGAAGCCACAATCGCGCAGGTCATTCCAAGCATGAGCAGAGCCGGGTCGTTCTCGAATAGGTCGATATCCACTGCATCGGATGATTAGCCGGGGTCTCTTTGTTTATCAAAAGAATAGAAGTCCTACCAATCTTCGTTCGAATGGTGTCTGCGACACGGGCGCCGACACCAACCGAACCGGCAAACTCGAGGATGGACCCGAGGGTCATGGCTTGGATGTAAGAAATGGATCGTGACGAGACGGAGGTCGCCCATGAATTGGCAACATCGTTGGCACCTATCAGCACCGACGGGTCAGCTTGAGAATGGCTAGGCAAGTAGGTTTCCGATTTCGAAGGTACGTACCAATGTTCCATGCATCAAGGAATGCGAAGATAGTGCCAATGGCGAAGATGTAATCATACTGATGAAGAGGCATTTCGAGCTTTTTTGCACAGGTTGTGCAAAACCTGATCTCCGGGAAAGATGACGATGATCGAAATAATGATTCGAACTGAAGAGTAGGTCCACGTGCCTCGAAGGGTGGTATGAAGAGATGGAAGACCCTGGCTTTGACACGGGTAGCAAGGCCGGAGAGGGAATGATGTTCGAGGAGTCGACATGGGAGCAGGAAGGTAGATTTCGGGACGAACTCTGGCATATATACCAGAAGGCAGAATAGCCAAGACGTTGCTTCTGTGTAGTTCATCCATGTCCACCTGCTAGGATGCACGTGTGCCCCTTTCCCTCCGGGGGATGCTCGGTGTGTGATGCTCGGGCGTAGACGAGGAAGTGGCTACACGCCAACATCAGCAGAGGCAAGACAGGTAAGGCACATAGGATTGTGGGAGACGTACCGACCCAACCCACTCAGAGGTACTCGCCACACCCACAATCTGCAATGTTACCGACATGGTTTATCCTGCGGGCTAGTCCTCGTAGCATTTGACTAGGTATACTGTCTTGCATGGGTCCAGACAGGAGTGCGCTCCAGCCAATTCGATGTTAGGGTTCACTTTTCCATAGAGAAGAGAAGTATTCGTTGATTTGTGGCTCTGAGGCGATGTCTGTCGTTGCCACAAATGATTACCATGACGAGATTCGACGCAGGGAAAACATCTTCATCGACGAGATTTCCAAGGCTTCCGAGTCTTTGCTGCTCGAACGCACTTCTGCGACGTTCTCCGCAGGCCTAGAGTGATCCCTTTAGCAAGGAACGTCATGGCGAACATCCCGTCGGTGGGAGAAAGTAGATGCCAAGTTCAACCTAGTGGATAGGTTGGCTGATATGAACCTGCATGAGACGGGATGGATGGGTATCGAGTGGAAAGTACAAGAAAGCTGGAAGTACCTAGTAAGACATAACCTGTAGTCTCCCACGTGTCGTAAACAATGTCGCATATTTGGCAGAATTCGAAATTTTGGGAGAATCTCAGCCTCGTGGAGATACTGTTGGAGGCGATGGAGTGGAAGCGCGAGGAGGGAATCCACAAATCCATCCATCCAAGATATCCCTAGGTATTCAAAGGCGGCCAATAAAATCGGTAACAGCTGAACATTGACTTTTTCTCGCCGAGCTCCCAATGAAGATGGTGCCCAACAATTGTAGAAGGGCAAAGCTGGACGTTGGGCCGTTGGAAGATGCCGGAAAACAAACGGACGATGACAGGTCGTCGAGGAGGGAAGTAGATACATCCTCGCCGCATCCTTCCTAAACCATCGACCGAGATCCATTTGTGTGGCGCACCCGAAGCGACTTGGCGCGGTGAAGCGCCAAGACACCCGCTCTCAGGAAGCGCCAAGCGCCAAGCGCTGCTGGCAGGAGCACAGCGGCCCTACTTCGACTCCGCAATTGCCGAATCATCGGTCCCGAATCCACCACGTGCTGGGTCCCTTCCTTCTCTGTGGATTTTCCCCGGCTGCAACCCCGGAGCTTCTCATCTTCAATATCGCGAATGAGTCGCCAGCACCATCAGACAAATTCTCCCTTGACGACATGAATTTCTATAAATCCTGTGTCTTCCGCCAAGCAGCCAAGTGGCCAAGGACAACAACATCTTTGGGATGGCTCCGCCAGTCAACCGTATCCCATGAAATGTCAGCGACCAACTTCTCCCACGCCCCCGTGTCCGCCCCTTTGTCGAATACTAGACACGATCCACCGAGCGCCATGATTGGCTTCCCCCGAGAGCTCCTGCCCTCTAATGTTTCCCGATGCAGCTCAATCTCCGGCTGTCCCTCACTTACGCTCTTCCGCCAGCAACCACTTCCCAATTCACTTCCTCAGGTCTGATGCTGGTCCCGAACCGATTGGCCGGACAGTACTTTACGAGCCATGCGTGCCTCAAGTTGCCGTGATTCGCCTACCAGCTTGTCAACGTCCAATATCACTAGCTTGTAGCTCGTGCGAACGATACCGTCACCCCGGTATTGGCTGCCACACACTTTCCTCTGGCCAAGAAACCCAAGAATGACCCAAGACGATTGATCACATTTCCATCAACGAATCAAATCTGCGGCTTGAAGCTCGTGGTCTCTCCTCAACAGCCAGAAGTTCCCAGCTGTGCTTGTTCGTAGGCAAGCCCTGTGTGATTATGGATATCAATGTCACCAAACACATCGCCTCCTGCCGGTAGCCGTTGATACGGTCCTCGAAGACTCCCACTCTGGTAATACCTTTTTGATGGATATTTGCACAACCAACGGCCTTCTTGACGTTTTTGCCCTGTATAAGAAACCAGTATCATCAGTCTCACTTCGGAGTATTCGGTGCGCAAAATTTCTGAAATTCTGCAAACTTTCCCTTTCATCGTAGTTTGGGTAGATCTACCGACTAGCCCTACGTGAGAAGACGTCTCAAATTCTCCCGCAGCGCATTCTCGCCTTCGGCCCATCCAGATTCAACTTGGTCCTCGAAGTTGGAACCGTAACGATTATCTTCATCCAGCAGTGCCACGGTGGATAGAGCGGCATATGCCGTAGAGTTGAGTCTATCCTCGACTCCCTGTTCTGTATCCTCTCGCCACAAAGCACGGGCCTTCTCTGTAAACCCGTCAAATGACAGGTCAATAATCCTCCAACTTTCGAGACCTAGATCCTCAATCAGTGTAATCAACTGGTTCGTCGATACAGTGTGACTGGCAAAGTAGGTAGCCCTGTTCCGGTATTTCTCCGGGTTGGTCAGCACAGTAACAAGGGCTTGGCCGTTGAGGGCGCGGCGACTGATGCTGAATCTTTGATCTCCAGAACCGTAGCGACTGATGGTTCGTTCTTCTCTATTGATCCAGAAAATGCCGCGATTAATGGTCCAGTCGTACCACGGACCAATTATGAATGCCGTCCATGACAATGACCCGTTCGACTCGGCGACGATACGTTCAAGTTCACGCTGAGCTGTCAACTTGGGACCGAAGATGAGAGCCTCTTTGGCGTTGGGATGGAACGTATTGCCACTGAAGTCTGGGGTGACAATGTGTCCCACTCCGGCGGCCAAGGCTGCCCGCAGGATGTTGGTCTGGTAGGATGCGGCTGCTGGATTGAAAGCCTCGACAATGACGTCTTGGCCTTTCAGAGCCATAGTGAGAGCTTTAATGTTCGAGTAGTCAGAGACTCTTACTTGCACGCCGCCGGGAAGGCTCTTTTGGCTGTCGGGGCGAGTAATGCACGCCACGTCAAAGTCGGCTTGCAGGAGTGCTGGAATAAGAACCTCTCCCAATGCGCCATTTGCCTTTCGAATTGGTCAGGGACTATGAGGAATCGCGATAGTAGATCAGTGACTTACACCAAATACGGCAACATTCTTGATGGGTGTCATCATGTTCGTGAGATGAAAATCCAAGTCGCTAAAGGAAAAATAGATTGACATTTGGTGATCATGGCTACTTTTTGATCCCAGACTTCCAATCATTGTTATAGCAACTCAGCATTAGTGATGTTCACGTCGGCTGTGTTGATAAGTCCATTCAGGAGAACAATCCTTGGAGCACAACGTTATGGGTTTCTGAGACGGAGATGAGCTCATTGTGTTAGCCAGGTCACACCATAGTTGATGAGTAAGACTAAGTGAGAACTGGGGCATAACGTTATCACCTGTTTTACATGCCATTGCACACCCCCTGGTCTCAGCTTTCGATTCTATTATACTTTTCACGAGTGCTCGACCTCTGCCTTTTCCTTCTCAAAAACATTTGAAAGCCTTTCGGTATCATTCCCAACCCCCATTGCCTTTGACATTTCCTTCGCTATCTTGACTGGATTGCCACCCGATGTGAAGAACTCGTCGATATCTTCCAACCTGAAATTGCTGGTCTCGGGATAGAAAAAGTAGATGATTGGCACAAACAAGAAATTGGTAACCACGAAGATGAGGTAGGCCTTCCACTGCAGACGATTGATGATGACTGGGGTGATCATGACGACAAAGAAGTTCCACAGCCAGTTGGAACTGATGCCTACGGCAGTACCTCGAGTTCGTGCGTGGAGAGGCAGGATCTCAGGAACAACGACCCATGGAACGCAGTTCATTCCCATGCCGAAAATCAGGTTGTACCTGGATACCTCGTGAGTAAATGTCCTGAAGCACCGTGTTTACGTAGAAGGTGAACTTACAGGAAGAAGAATGCTACAGACGCTGAAGCACAAGCTTGACCGCCTATAAAGCCCACCCGTGACAATAGAATCGAGATCATGAGCATGCAGATACCGAGTCCCGCACTTCCCCACATCATCGTCTTGCGACGACCCATGCGGTCCAAGGCCAGCGCCGGCAAGATGGATCCGAACATGAACATCATCTGCACACAGCCGCCAATAATTTGGGCCATATGAGGCGTCATGCCTACGTTCTGCACCAGTACGGACGGAATGAAGTAGACGACGAGGTTAATGCCTCCCAGCTGATTCATGAACTGGGCTCCCCATGCCAGCAACACGCGGTGGCCGGTTCTGAGCCGATCATTTTTGAAGATGCTGATCCAGGAAGACGATTTCTTTTCGGCGGCTTCTAGTTCTATGGCATGGTGAATGGCATGAATTTCGGCTCGGATGTAATCATCGGTTGGTTCTTTATCGAACACGTCACAAAGAACCTGGACGGCTTCCTGCTCGCGGCCGTGTTTGAATAGCCATCGGGGAGATTCAGGGAGGGCGAAGACCAGAACCACAACAATAAGCGCGAAGATAATTTGGAACGCGAGGGGCAGTCTCCAAGCAATTGGGCCGCCAATGAATGACATACCAAAGTCGAACCTGTGGACGTTAGCATTACATAGGGAATTACTAGAGTTATCGATGCAGTCGTAAACACACCAGTATGCGAAAACGATGCCGACGCCGACGAACAAGGTTTCGGCGGAGACAAGTCGGCCTCTGTATTTTCGATCACAGAGCTCTGATTGATACCTGTAGGAGGCATGGTGAGGCACTGTTCCGCGATGGGGCGTTGTGTGTAGCTTACATGGGGACAGTCGATGTCTTCATCCCGGTGCCGAACCCGGTGACCAAGCGCCCAATAACCAGATGAGGCACGGTGAAAGCCGTCGCTTGAAGAGTGGCGCCGATGATGACAAGGCTCATAGCGGTCCAGATTGTCTTTCGGCGGCCCAGCTTCTCGCCGAAGATAAAGTTGACTAGAAGAGTTTAATGTCCATGCATTATGTTGGCTGCCTAAATTCCATGTCTAGTGAGAATGAATACTTACGGACACAGCCAGTCAGACATCCCAAGTTGTAACACGATACTATGATGCCGGTTTCCGAGTCAGAAGGATGGCCGAACTGATCTAACCAATCCTCCATTTGGAGAATTCCACCAAACACGCCTTGGTCATATCCGAAGAGGACGAACGCAATCAGACAGCATATCGTGACACCGACTTGGAGGCTTTTGCCTCGGCCTAGAGTGAAGAACATGGTGTGGTGTCTCTAATAGACTCGTATGCAGGAATTCTTTGATAATCCTAGAAGTCTTCGGGGTAGTAATAGCTGTCTTATGTACCAAGACAGTAGACGGTAAGAGCCCTCTCTCGCAGAGTCGTCCGGTGTCGAGCACTTTCGCAAGGGAATTTGGGGATCAAATTGAAGTGATGTAAGGCAGCCAACGATCTTCCCCGGTCTAATGTCGAAGGTAATAGCTTTGGAGGGTTTGGTGGAGAACTGGGCGTTGAGGAGGCAGATCTATGGGGATAACGCGGGGGAGCGCCAGATGATATCTAAAGTCAAACTTCGCGTGGCTGGCCACCGTCGAGATTCCTGAATTGCATTTGCGAGCGAAGATATGACAGCGCTTGTGCTTGCTGGTCTTATGCTTCCTGCGGGTAAGTTCTTCCTTCTTATAAGTTCACATCGGCAACAAGGCCGCTGGCCGGAAGACGGACGAGCGGGGAGGCCAAGTTCACGGACCGGAAGAAATAAGGTAGCGCTAAGCACTTCCTGTGCCCCAGTGATCTACACGGCACTCCCTCTTGTGCGCAACTGGCGTGGGGTATCCAGAGGTTGGAGCGCTTAATCATTCTTGTTTTGGATTCTTGTTTTGGTCTTACAATCTGGGGTTGCTGCAGCAGAATAACCGTGCGTCGATTGGGTTGGTATGCAGTCATCGCATGCTGCGCAAGTATGATGACGTCCCGACATTGGAGGGGCCACACGGAAAAGCAAGTGCTGAGACTAGTTGGCCCACAACGGTACGATCATGATTGGGTTCGCTAGGTGTTTGCCAAACATCGTTGGCTGGCCTTTGGCATCTTTGATGTTGGTGATAAGATTCTAAACAGAATGGGATTACGCGCGCCAATTACAAGTACGTTTGTGTAACGCGACATCTGCGGCACCTGAGTCTTGGGGCTTGGAACTACCTTACGACAGATGCGTACAGCCCGGTTGTCAAAGTCTATAGTTTGGGGGCACAATCATTGAATTTGGCGAGCATTGCGAAATGAATAATGGAAGCCTCGAGACAGCACACTCTATCCTCGGTGAGGAGAGGCAGCCATTGCTGTACGTGCCCATTGGTACGCTACCTAAATTAGGCACATATAATGTAGTCCCAGGCGTATCAATGCGAGCCTCTTCACCAAAAGATGCCAGGCGTTTACTGCCTTCGGTATCTGTAGGTGAAGCGCTTTCAGAATTTGAGCTTGCTTTATTTCCTCAAATCCCGGTTGTAAAAGTGGCGGATGACGAGTACAGTCACTGCGGCCGCTGCTCCGAATCCAGCTGTGATGTAATTGCCAGTAACGATGTATGGCTGAAGGTTGGCAGGGAAAGTGAAGATGGGTACCCACGCCGTGAAAATGTAGGCGAACGCATTCATCTGGTAGTGACAGGCCGTGTCAGTTCTTATTGCCTTGGAAATTGTGACTTGAAGTTGAAAAAAGCGAAACAAACCATAGCAGACACATATGCACGCTTCTCAGGGTCGTCTCGATTCGTCTCGTTCACCCATGTCCATGTAATGCCAGCGCATGTGCTCGCGAGAGCGGTAAGATCTAGTGAAGGGGGGAGGTAAGCAACGGTAAATTGACTCCGTGGTGGATGAGGAGAGACTTACAATACAATGCCCATCGAGTTGCAATGTTCGCTGGATGCACAGGTGTGGCCGCCAGTGCGATAGGGAAAATGATCGCCATGACGCTGGCGAACAACATGCCGGGCCATCGAGCTGCTCCAGGCAAGCTGTCTGAAACCCACGAGTTTGCAAGGGTGGCAAAGATGGAAATGATGTTGATCTAGTCAGAGTGTGAGCTACGATGTGTTTGAGTAATAAATCAAGAGCAGGGAACAAACTCACTCCAAGCGGGATGATGTTGATCTCTGCTACGGAAAAGCGTGGCGGCTTTCCCGCTACATTGTAGCTCTTGACCCAGAAGATCACTAGATTAAGTACCGACGGACGGTAAGTGACTGCTCTTTCATGAGCTACATTATTCCTGTGTCAACTTACTTGATCCTCCAGACTGGCCTAGTTGAGCAAGGAACGTGAAGAAAAGTGGGACTTCACTTGTCAGTTTCCACGAAACGACGTTGCTTGCGGCATGGATCTCTTACAAAGGTAGACATGCCAAGTCGTGTGCCATCGCTTGATATCCTTCCACTTAAACAAACCAGTATAAGGTTTGACTTCGGTAGGCATTCTGGCACGGGCGAGCTCGACTTCCGTTTCGGTGAAGATCCTAGGAGAAGAAATCATTCCATCAGTTGCTGCAATGTCGTTGCCCTTCTATGGGAGTGATTCAGATCATGCATACCAATTCGCTTTAGCCCGAGAAGGGAGTTGGGGCATGGCAAATGCCGTCCATATCGCACAAGGGAGGGAGATGCATCCGCAGACGCTGACATTTTGTCAGCATGATTATGTTCCCTTTGGACTAGGCCGCGTATTTGGGTTTCTGTTACACTTACATGTACATCCATCGCCAGCCCGGGAGACCACTCTTTCCGTCTAAGCCAGCATATACAGCGGCCATCAGAAAGCCGGAGAAAAGTGGTCCGACAGAAGTGAATACTTGGATCAATGTGTTGCGCCGCGCCAGTTCGTGCGGCTTGTAGTAACTCGAGCACACATACATGACGGCCGGAAAGTGCCCTGCTTCAAATAGACCAACGCTGAAATGTGGTGAGTGAGGTTTCAATAGATAGCGACGGCCTGGCATTGATGCAACTTACAAGAAGCGGAACACGTATAGTTGATTGACATCTTTGACCCCGGCAGTCGCGAATGTGAAGACCGTCCAGGCAAACTCAAGGAATGAAATGTAAAGAGGAGCATTGACCTGGAATTTATCAACAACTAGTACTCTTTTTCGAAGGTGGAGTTGTCAAAACTCACTCGGGTGAGAAGTAGGTTTGACGGAATCTGCCCGAAGACGTATGCTGCACTCCAAATAGCGTTGGCATAGTTGAGTTCCTTTCCGAATAACAAAAGATCTTCTTTCATGCCACTGTCTAGCATAATACTTAGCAAAGCCTACAAAAAAACCTAGGTTTAGACACTGACTGAATGCATTCGTGATGTTGACTTGATCAAGATAACGACACATAACGCCAAGAGCCGATGCTGATATGAGTGTCAAATCGAGCTTGGTGAGAAATCGTGCCTCATCTTTTGGAACATCAAGTGCTAGATTAAACAAAAAGTCAGCAACTGAAACCCTCCATCACTTCTTCTTCACTCCGTACTTCAAGCGACTTACTCGACCAGAAGAATGATCTCCACGTTCTCTTAGAGTCGATGTAGACTGGTCTCTCGGTATCTGCATGATAAGGGACTTTGACTCCATCATGAACTTCGTTTTCCCTTTCGCCGATGACGAAGGCATCTTTGGGGTTCTTTTCGTCAGGAAGCGGCATTGTATTCAGGCGAGATATGTGACGTGGGATTAAATGTACTGTAGAGCATGTATTTGCACTTTCCGACTTTTCGCTACCGGAAATCTGTGAGCTTATCTACAAGCTCATTGTGTGTGGCTTCTCGTTCAGATCTCGTGGCTCGGAAGTCGGATTGATTGTCGTCTTCGGCGGGTCCCATGGCGACATCGACAGTCAGGTCAGAGTGCGTCTGCTAGTCATGATACGTAAACGCCACAGGACCTCCGTCTGCCTGCCAGTGGTCGTGAGACCAATGAATAGCCAAGTTTCCAGCGTACCATGTCGATAACGCAGACGCCTCTTTGGGAGCTACCGATGTCGGAAACATGGGTTGGATCATATCTTTTGGTAGGGTACCTACAATTAGCGAGCAAGTACGAGTCCGTAAACACCAATGATGTCGGCGAAAGGCAGGCATACAATGGCGTGCTTGATATCTCGGCAAAACTCCGCGTTTATCAATCGCGAAATGCGTGTGCAGGTGATAAACGCAGCTGAATAGGGCATTTCCTCCGATTTAACTCCAACGGAATAGAATATTCTTGACTTGAATCGTCCAAACTCGCACCATGCGTTGTACGCGTGAAGGAATGTGTTTATTCTTTATAGTGAGGCAGGTGGACATGGCGATACTACCCTTGCTAAAGGCCACGAACTAGAGCATCCGATCATAAATGCTATCTAAGTCTTTTAAACTGCAAGCAAGACTCAGGATGAATTTGCAGGACCCAGGTGCGAAAGATTCCTCGCTGGGCTTCATCCACATTCCTTTGCATTCATACCAACATTGAACAATTGATTGCTAAGTGATTCGACGTTGAAGCAACGACCAATGCTCCACGCCAGACTATCAAACCTTCGTCTAATATTATACTAATCCATCATGCCTTTGGCGAATCAGATAGGTCTTTTACCGGATCATTTAATACGATACCGAACACGAGCCCGCGGTGCTACATGAAACAAAGTTCTTAATAATAGAAAGCTTAAGCTTTCTGATGTCGGCGCGGGGTCAACAAGATGAACCTTACCCCCTCCCGATGGCTTGAGAATGGTAATAGTCCTACGCACGTCTGAGCATGATCGCAGACGCTTCGCTCATTGTAGAAGTTTCCAACCGATCTTGGTTGGTGTTGCGTGCTTCTCGCTTTTATCGACCTGTTCAGCCCAACAGCTCTTTACCCTTTCGCAGTTGGGCTATTCACAACTTGACTCTTTGACGTTTGCATGCGAACCATCATGAACAAAATCAGCCCATCAACAGCCTGGCAAGCATTAGGGGCAGGCTGTTTACTGGCTACCCTCTACTTCGTTTACTGCTTGTATAGTGCCCGCAGGTTTTTCAAGTCACTTCAGCGTCAAGGCCTGCCAATGCCCCCTCACGACCCAATCTGGGGCCATCTCAAACTTATCGGAATGATTCTGAAAAATTTACCACCTGACATCATGCCATCTGCAGCACTGGCCCATGAAATTCGCTTGCGTTATCCACATCTCGATCAGGCCTTCTATTTGGACCAGTGGCCCTTTTTCAAGCCCATGCTGGTCGTTCTGTCACCAGATGGAGCTCGACAAGTGACACAAGGTCAATCTCTTCCCAAAGAGCCGGGCCAGCGAGAGTTCTTGAAGCCCCTTACAGGCGGTTACGATCTGGACACTATGGAAGGAAACGAATGGAAATTTTGGCACAACGTCTTCAGCCCTGGCTTTCGAGTCGCGAATATCGCCGCGCTGGTGCCGAGCTTGGTCGAGATGGCTGAAATCTTCTGTGATCGTCTACGCCAATGTGTAAAGAAGAACGGGGTGGTCTCTCTGAGTCCCATGGCTCTCGACCTTACCATGGACTTTTCAAGCAAGGCTGTCATGGGACACGATATGCATTGCCAGACAGGCTACAACGACTTTGCCGCCGCGATGGCTTCGCAGCTCAGCTGGCTGCATTACCGCGGCACTTCGCCGCTGAGAGACATGAACTTATTCAGGCCCCTAGTCCAGCGCTACAATACTTGGCGAATGAACTCGTACATCAACAGAGTACTACAAGAGAACTCACAAACTGCCAAGAGCAGACAAACGGAGTCTATCTCAATACTAGATACCGCCAATGCACCACAAGACGGGAGCCGGCTGCGGATACTTCCCGATGTTATCCGGTCACAGATCAAGTTCATGATGCTTGCAGGTTATGACACAACTGGATCATCGATCGTTTTCATGACCAACCTCTTGTCGCAGCACCCAGAAGTACTGGCACGCGTTCGAGCTGAGCACGACGATGTCTTCGGCTCTGACTTGAGGGCAACCGCGGGCCTCATAGCCTCTCAGCCGAAGCTGCTCAACCAACTTCCATACACGACTGCCGTCATCAAAGAGTCATTGCGCATTTACCCTCCCGGAGCAACTCAGAGGCTAGGCAATCGAGATTTCAATGTCTTCATTGAGGCCTCCTCTGATATTCCAGAGACTGATACAGGCGAGAAATCTGTATCAGCTCTGAAGTCCCTGCCGACGGAAAGGTGCAACGTCTATGTCAGTCACTACGCAATCCATCATAACCCACGGTACTGGTTCCGCCCAAGCGAGTTCATCCCAGATCGTTGGCTAGTGACGGACAAAGATGACCCTCTGCAACCTCCTGCCAACGGTTGGCGTCCCTTTGAGAGAGGGCCCAGGAGTTGCATAGGGCAAGAGATGGCTTTGGCTGAGATCAGAATGGTATGCGCTCTTACTGCGAGAGAATTTGAGTTCGACCCTGCGTATGAAGAGACCAGGCAAACAGAGAAGTATCATGGGGATCCTGTGTATTTGGTGAGTCGCGGGGGGGCAGCCAATCCGAGTGGCTTCTTCCCTTGTCGAGTGAGCTTTGCGAAGAGAACATGAAGTAAGGTCTTGCAACGCGAGATGGCTTAATTGGGCTTTTTGGTTAATTTCTCCTTCAATCAGGCCGACGTGGACATCGTATGCTTGCAGGATTCATCCGGAGTTCAGATCCCTCTACATAAGTAAATTGTAGAACTTGAATTGAAGGGCAAAGCTCAATGACATGGCATTCAATTTCCAGGCTATCAGTGTGCGAGGATGGGAAAAGCTTCTCATCAATAGGATAGCATTCCCCCTGCTTTAAATTCAAGATAACCAATCTACGTCTATCACTTGGAGTCGACCTAGTATGCTGTAACCTTATTACTCTTTTCCCAAGGGTTTTGCAACCGCGTTTTTCTGACATCACCGCGCTGCCAAGAAACCAAGTCATGGTATCCAAAATGCTTGGGGTAGTCCAAGGGCTTGAGCCTGGCGGATGGCCCGAGGAATCTCCCGACGACGGTGTTATTGAGGGCCTTTCCAGCAGCTCCTTTGGCTGTCTCGGCCTTTTCCTTGAACCATTGTCCCCAAGTCTGCTTCACTTCAGGCTTCTTAGCTTTGATCTCAGCCCTCTTTAGTTCCTCATGTTTTTGGCGCAAAACCAGCTTGTGATTGATGTCGATGAAGAGACGTTCCCACATTCCGATGCGTTCCTCGTGCAAAGTCCGCGCACCCTCCTTTGCGTTATCTCGGGCCCAGATCCAGTGATTCTCGGCTTGTTCCAGAAGGCAGAGGTCGGCTTCGAACGGCACCTGGTGTACAACAAGCGTGTGCCCCTTGTGAGACTCAAGGTCCATGGTATGGCCGCCGTGGACGGATGAGACGGTTCCCGTGAGCGTTTCGTAGGTCGATGCAATGGGAGTCTTGGGGTATGGGTCGTCGATCTTAAGTGGCTCTGTACTCTTCTCGAGTCTGAATCCATTTTGCATCAAGGCTGCGCATTCCCATACGCCAGCGTCATCGAGACCTTTACCGTCGTAAAGATATCGGATGCGTACGGAGGGATGAATGAGCTGGTTAGGGTTCACGAGCCTATTCTTCCCATCGTCGGTCTTGTATAAGCCCGGAGTACGCGTGCCCAAGACAGTGTTGTCACCCTTCAACTTTTGCCACGGGTACCAAATCGCGTTGTATGCCTCGTCGGGGATCGACGTGGCCTTCCCGGGATTGGAAATCTTTCCCATTGCCCATGGCCGAGGCTCGACACCAGGGGTGAGGGTGTAGAAAAGCCGCTTCATCTCAGGCGTGCTGAACTCAACACCGACAGAGGTGAGCTGGTCCGCCATCCCTATTTCGTGCTGTCAGCTAACTTCCGCGATGGTGCTTCTTAGTCATTCGGCGCCGGGAGACCTCACAGGCAAGTGCAATAGTCGCGATTTGTTGGTCCTCGAAGCCTCCTCCGACGTTACTGTGGCTGCCAGGAAACCAGACCTGCCGAAGTTGCGTGTGTGTATTATTGTCCTTGCCCCACAATGTCGGTTTGAATGCGGTGCGCCATTCGTCCAGTGCGAGGGCATGAAAGGCAAAGTCTACTTTGGGATTGACGTCGAGACTTGCAAATCGAAGCTGGTTGTGTCAGTCGTGTTTTCCAATATTGAACATGTCCAATATTTCTGGCCACTTGAGAAAGCTTCAACTCACCTCCTCGGCGCTGCGGCCGATGCGGACCTTTTCCCAGGGCATTTTCGGCCAGCCTAGACTTCCAACAGTATCCCATACAGCTAGGTCGAGGGCAATTAGACTGGGTTTGTCTTCATTTGTGGGGTTTAGGATTCGAAGACTGACCAACTGCTCTAACATTGACGTCTGTGGGGACCGGGAAGAGGCCCAACTGGCCATCTCGGAATTGCGTCTCCCACTTGGTGAGAACCATGCCGTGCTGTGAAGATAATCATCAATAAATTGCTTCTCAGACCAAAGTGATAACTTTCGTCTTACCTCTTCAAGTCTGTCTCTGTATTTCTCAGCCATCTTGCGAAGATCCATTGGCCCGTAACCCTTCCTGTTCTCACGATATGTGGTCATTGTCTCAAAGAACATTCTTTTATCTTTGTTCAATTCCTCTTCTAGGGCAGCACTCTCGCGTTCCTCGACCTTGTCATCCTCGGATGCTTTTTGTTTCTTACGGCGCATGAAATTGGTAAGCGTAAAGCCTACCAAATGGTCGTCTTTGTCAAAACTTCCAGGGTACTTCCAGTTGGGGAAGGTCTGGTAGTCGTGGAAGATTGCCCCGAATTGTGATAAGCCGACGCGATTCAGAAGCCCAAGATTGCAAATCAACCCGGAGACCGATCGCGCGGTAAAGGCCCCGCGCGAGAAGCCGACAATAAAAATCTCATCTCCTGGGTTGTAGTTATCGCACACGAATCGGTAAACATCAGCGATGTCCTAAGCGACGGCATTGAAGCGTTAGCGACACCTCGTTGTTTTACCATTGTCATTCTAAGAGAAGCCGACCTGAACGATCCCTTTTCCAAAAACTCCGCCAAGAGTCTGGGCAACTTTTGATTCCTCGGTTCCAGCTCCTCGGTGGTAGTAGACGACCTGCGGCATACCCGTACAGCACTTGCGGGCAATGGCAGACGAAAGGCGAGCTACGTTAGTAGGAATGCATCCCCTCTTGTTTCTATGAAATATCATAATCAGCGACAGATGATTAGATAACGAGTTACTTGGGAGACCGACGAGTTGTTCCATGTTCCGTCACAGCAGACGATTATACGCTTGGTGTTGGTAGTCTTTTCTGTCCTGTGGGCGCAGTCTGCAAAGTCGGACTGAGATCGTGATTGTGATTCAGGCAGCTGGATCTGGGAGATGAACGGCTGACCGTCACTAGTAGCTGATGCCATGATTCAGGGAAGAGATTCTCTCGAGACGAGTGATGGGAATGATTTGGGCAGGCCAAGGTGCTCGATGAATGCTCCCCTGCCACTGGTTATAAGTCTTCCGCCATCTCTCAAAATCATCTTTCCACAGCTGTCTGCTTTGAGACAAGCTTCGGAGGTGTTCATGCCGGCGTCCAAGCTATATGGAAGATTTGACTGCACACGCCAATAATGATCTACCATGCCTCCCCATCTGTCTCAGACAAATGGGGTAGGATCATACGAAATGGCACAGTTCACCATCTGTTGGTCTTCGGCATCCCTTGGAAGTTTCCATACAGTGAAGATTGTCCAGAGGTTATCTGGGATTATATCGTCTCAATTGCTTTCGAGGTTAAAATCACATGAAGGCAGCTGAGAGAAGCCGATATTACCGCACGAACGAAGTCGTGGAAGAAGGCTGGCTTGAAGGCAAGCCCACCTCGCCCAACTTTTCAATAAGAAAAAGGGCCAAATCTGCCGGGCTGCGAGACATACGAGCAGTCTTTCACATGCTCAAAAACTCTCTTCGTGATCCCAAACAATACGCGGGGATCCAAGATTTTCACATTTTCGGATTTAGCTCGAAGCGCGTCTGAACCATACCAGCGAGCCTTGCCGTAAACATTCAGATATGATCACCAGGCTTTCGGCAACGGTAGGAACTAGTACTTGACACACTGATGATCCGCTCCACATTCGATAGGTTCTTTGAAATTTGTGTCTGCTCTGGGAAGTCGTCGACAATGTTGTTGGGGAATACTCCTCGCTCTAGCCTGAAGTAGCTTGTTTTTGGGAATGACGTTGATATGAGACACTCGGAGATGATGTTCAGTGTGCCGGAAACGTGTTGAGATTACAACGATCGAGATTGAAGGAGATAGCCATTCCAAGGATCCGCCAGTTTAAACCCCAATTCTCCTTACAGATGTGCCACAAAGCTAAGCCGAGGAATGCTGGAGACGGCCGAGCCGCGGACGGCACACACACCACGCTAACTACCGTGTCGGGGCGCAGCGGAGCGGCCCGCGTTCCGGGGCCGAGACTGCTGTGAGTGGTTGAGGGCAACCCGCGGAGCGGAGGTGTTCATCCTTCGTACCTTTACTATCAAAATGACGGCCCGCGTAAAGTGGACATGTATTCAGAACTGCATACTGGTGCTGATGAACGCCAAGAATATCACATCAAGACAGGAATGAAGTAGATTCTACAATACCTAGTAGGTATCCAAGTATTTGATGTTTGATAAGCCGCTTTAAGTCGTTTTGGAAGACCTGGCTGTATGCCTACCTTAGGTACGTATTTGTGCCATGGTATCGTCGTTATATCTTTAGAAATGTTTCACGATAAAACAAAATATCCAAGCATCACGGCGGTAGAATTTTGACAGTTATGTATATTCGACAGGCTTAATATGTGCAGAAGTGAATTTTCATAACCCATAAGCAGGCCCTTTGACCTTTTCATAAACACATCCCCTCCAATCCCAACAAAGTCCTCCAACCCAGCATTTAGGAGGTACCGGAGCAGCCAACGAAGTTGTTGCCGCTGGCGCCAGTGTGGGTGATCTGGCCAGCCTGGCCGCAAGAAGCGTTGATGACGACACGGTCGGCACCGGGGGAGCCTGGGTGGAGAGTCAGGAAACTGAGTATTTCAAGGAGTGCAATACCGCTCGAGCGACGCTTGCACCACGCAAACATGTCGCACATGACGATGGGGGATAGCTCACCTCCGGTGTAGACGCCGCTGGTCTTGATGGGGAACTCGTACCACGGACCGGTGACGTCAAAGTCGAAGCCCTCGTAGTTGTTGTAGCGGTGGGGGTAGGTGGAGCTGCCGGCGACGGTGCCGGCCTTGACGTGGGTGCAGGCGGCGTTGGAGGCGGCGTTGACCTGGGCGGTGGAGTAGGTGGTGCTGCCGCAGGTGGTGGAGCGCTTCTGGATCTCGGCGGGGGCGGCGGAGACGGCCAGGGCGAAGAGGGAGACGAGGACGACGGAGAACTGCATCTTGGCGGTTGTGGTTGGTGTTGTTGGGAAGGGGATGGTAGTGGGCTGGGAGACGAAGACTGGATGACTGGGCCTGAGGGGCTTCTTTCAAGTCTGATTCATCGCGGGAAACCTCATCATCTTTATACACGGAAGTTGTCTGTAAATAGAAGGCCAAACTGATTTTCCAATTATTGTGAGGACCCCGACTCCAGTGTGATGCTACAGTACGGCAAGCAACAGCCAAGCGAAAGCACAAAGTCCCCAAAGTCTCCCAGGGTAGCGGTGTCAGCGCGTCCGCGACTCCGCCGTGTCCACTTGTCGATCCCCGGTCCTTAATGCGGAAGGTGTTTTAAGGGATCTTATCGCGCATGGCCAGGAACGCCGACGTGGTTGGCTGGAAAATGAAAGAGGCCATAACGTATGGAAAACCTGTCCGGTCCGTCTTGGTTCAACTCGAGCCTTGAGAGGTTCCCACTCAGCTTCGTTAGTGTAACCGTAGTGTTCCTTCTGCTAAGACTTGCGCGCTTGCTGACACATCGAGGACTAACAAATCAAGTTGTGCCCAGTGCCTTCATGGCACCCGTTGAGTGGTGTTGCGGACATGGATGTCGTGCGCTAGTCAGGCGCATCTACCGACGGCATTGCGACCCCAATTCCGGGCCAAGCACCAACTGTGTAATGTCATCAAGAAGAGAAAAACCGTTCCTAAGCCGGGTGAGGAAGTCTTTCCCGTGTCTCCCGTCCCACACGGCGTTCGAAATCCCCGCATTTGAGTCTTGAGTTGCGCCCTTCTCAGTCCCTGATTCCCTGTGGTTTCCCGCCATTGCCTATTATTCCCCCCTGGCGGCCAGCTCCGATCCACCATTCTCTTAACCAGCTGTCAAAATAGGCTTAACCTCGAAGTGGGTTTTGAAACGTTCGGGCTGTCCCTATCATTCTGCCACGGGGGTTTGTCTGCGCTCTGGTGGGCTGCAATCTGTCTGGGGGAGAGGCAAAAGCAAAGCTGCCTTTCAGCTTAAGCGCCTGCTGTGAAGCTTACAGGTTGCCTCGTTACCTACCTTCTCCATGGGGTTACAGCTCAGCCGTGGCACGTTCGTCCCATCGCCGGGAGATCAGCATAGGTAATCATTGAGTGGGTGGAGAAGTCATCAATCTTCCTCCTCGCGATTCCAGTGTGGTTTCCCGCGAGCATACTTGCCTTTTGTTCCCACCAACTACAGCAGTTCCAGATGAGAGCTTGTAGTCTACTTTAGGTATTTACAACAGAAGCCAGTAAATTATCCGGCCGCAAGCCAAATTGATTGCACCACATCAACAGAGTTAAAAATTTCGTAGCTGTCGAAGCTCCATTTTCATTTCTCGCAACCGGTTTCCAAGCGAACTTGCTTAACCTTAATCAAGCCTCAGTGGGGGAGATGCGCCCCTTGAAAGCAGGGATCAAGTGCCGCTCACCCGATGCCGGAGAATCTGATTCGAGGCATATCTCTCTACCTGATTGCATGTAGTCTTTAGCTGTTGTCGGAGGCGCCCGGACCTGCTTGCACCTTCTCCTTGGGTTCTTGGCCTTTCATGTTGTCAGGCTCGCATGTGATGCTGTGCGGCCACGGGTTGTTGTGCCCGCATCGGCGTTGGTGCTCAATCAGGCAAGACATCTCATCGTCGGATGCTTCGCTTAGAAATTGGTTGCCAGCGAATTGCGATATCATGAGTTTACTCGTCGGCATCGGCCGGTCTATACTATCTTTCAACATGCTATCGCGAAGGCATGGGTTCAACAATGGACTAGACACGGAAACGATGGTATCAAGATAATAAGATTTGATGGAAATCATGGATACCAGATAAGCCAAATTCCAAAAACATCTGGCGCAAAGAGCAAAACAAGGAGTCAGTTCCATGAAAATGCGGTGGCATGTTCATATGACACTGGCTCGATCAAAATATCGATCAATTGTTTGAAATTGAGAAGGAAAAGTGCCAGCTTGTTTGTTCTGTGTTTTGTAACAGTAAAGATGCTGCGACTGCATGCCTACACTAAATTGATGGAAAGGCTTTGCTCCAGTCCTGTGCTGAAAGCCATTCGTCGACTTTGACCGCTTCAATCTGATTTTTCAGAGCTCCAGGTAATGTCAGAAACTCTTTCCATCCTTCAACTTTCTCTCCAAAGAGACCATATTCTGCAAGCCAAACCCAGCTCTCGGGAGCCTCACGACCTAGCGGCGATTCGGCCGCCATCTCATCGACAGTTCTTTGCACAAAGACAAAGTCCCGACCCATTTCCCTATGTAGAAGCTCGATACACTCTCCCAGCGACTTCATCTCGTCGTAAGCCGCCAAGATTGTACCCGCCGGCTCATCAAGAACCAGAGCCTTGACAGAGTTTCCGGTACTGGACGAGGCATCGATGAACGGTATAAGTTTGTCGTCACTCACAGGCCCTTCAAACTCGATCTTTCCTGTCAATGGATTGGATTTGGGTCCGAAATATGAGTCGGGTAAAATGTTGGAGTTGTAGAATCCAACCAAAATCTGGGAAGTCTTGGCCCACAGCGCAGGATGTTCTTGTCGAATGTATCTGACAATGTTGGCTTTGCCGTCAAAGTGGTGGACGTGCTTTAGCTTTCCTAGGCTGAGTTCGGAGACAGGTGGAAGACTGCTGAAGATGAAGCGCTCTAGGGTCGGTATGCTGGCTGCCGCTGTTGCAATATTTCTGCCCCAAGCCTCCTCTAGGTCCTGAGTAGCAATCGCGAGGTCAACTCCTTCGCTTTGGACCCTGTGGCTAACCTCTTCGGTCTTAATGGCGCTCCAAAAGTCTGTCACTGCGAAAATCACTGATGCGTCCTCGAAAGATGACTTGAGCTCCGAGACGGAGCTGAGGGAGGCAGAGGCCATTTCCGCTCCAAGCTTCGATAATTTGGCCGCGGACTTTGAGGATGGGTTTCGAGTTACACCTCGTACGTGCCAATCGCTGTATAAAGTCGTGTCGCTCAGGAATGCTCGAACCACGGAGCCACCCTGATTTCCTGTGGCGCCCAGGACGACCAAGGTTTTCTTCTCGTGTGAGCTCATGTTGGATTGAGGAGTGGCTATCCAAGTAGAGTATGCAAGATGGACAGTGTGATACAGCTATCAGTTGGAGAGCACATGAGGGAAGACACCAGTTTTTATTTATCTTTATAGGATTATTAAAGATTCGAGACTACGTCGTTCGTAAACGGAATATGCATCAGCCATGAATGACGGATAACGTTAACGCTGGCTGCGGATTTTCGAGCAGATTTTGTCAGCTTGATTTGTTATGGTCTTGCCGTGGCATGTCTCGCCGACTAGAATCCTGAGGTAAGTAAGTAGTTAAAGAGATGAAGATAAAGATGGAGGAACAGAAAGACCGATTTTGGGCTAATTATCACGGAAATGTGGATCCTCAAGGAGGAATTGCGAGCCGACTCCGCTCCGCGATAACGCCGGCAAGATACTCCACCAAAATCGACCGGCTCCGGGGAGTTGAACGAAGGATGGCGATTACCTCATCTTTCACCCTTCGCTCCTAGGTTCTTGGTTAGGCGTAATGGCCTGCAGCAGAGGTACGTAGATCAAGGAGGCTCATTAATCCGTCCCGGGCCAATGTGAGACTGGGAAGGTGGTCTGTGCAGCAGCTCAAGATGGGACGTACCTTTACAAGTTTGGTGTCAATTGGCCGCTCATTTAGCGTACGCAGCAGCAGGAGCTTTGGACGCGAATTCCAGGGCGTCCGGGCTCCGCAAAACGCGTTTTCTTGGGATTCAATCAACCCCAATTTGTGCCCACCTGTTTGGCTTGTCGCCTTTTTTTGCGTATTCAGCTTTAGGTTCCCCAGCTTCACTATCACCATACACATCGCGGCGCATCAATCGCAACGTCTTACCCATCGACGAGAGCTTTAGCAACACCCCGATCAACGTCGCATTCGCACACAAACCCTCCTATCCGACCGAGAACCAGGTCTAAATGACCCTGGGGACCATTCGCGATGCGCGTCATTAAGCCTACGTGGCTGAGCCATTCCGGCGAGCAGAAGGACTTCGAGGTGTATAGCTGTCACGTATCCTCCGATGGGAAACGACTCGCGACCGCTGGAGGTGATGGCCATGTCAGAGTGTGGTCAACCGAGGCCATCTATGGCGATGCGAATGGTGACGCAGAAGGCAAGCCGAGACAGCTCTGCCATATGAGCCATCACCTCGGCACAATCCACTCTGTTCGCTTCTCTCCAAATGGCCGATATCTCGCATCAGGTGCCGATGACAAGCTTATTTGCGTCTACCATCTTGACAAGAACCCTCCGGTTGCTTCCTTTGGTAATGCGCTCCTGCCGAAACCCAATGCGCTATGCCCTCGACGTGACGGATGCTAATGCAAGATAACAGGACTTGGCGCCGAACCCCCACCGGTCGAGAACTGGAAGACGTACAAGCGACTTGTCGGACACGAGAACGACGTTCAGGACCTTGCCTGGTCCTACGATTCCTCCATACTGGTGTCGGTTGGCTTGGACTCCAAGATTGTGGTCTGGTCGGGCCATAGCTTCGAGAAGCTCAAGACCATAACTGTCCACTCTAGTCACGTAAAAGGCATCACGTTCGACCCTGCAAACAAGTTCTTCGCGACCGCCAGCGACGACCGAACAATCAAGATCTTTCGTTTCACGCCACCTGCACCGAATGCGACGCAACATGATATGGTCAACAACTTCGTGCTGGAGCAAACAATCAGCGGGCCCTTTAAGAGTTCACCGTTGACTACATACTTCCGTCGATGCTCCTGGTCTCCTGACGGCAACCATATTGCCGCTCCAAACGCCGTCAATGGTCCTGTCAGCTCAGTCGCGATAATTGAGCGAACACGATGGGACAGTGAGATCAACCTGATCGGCCACGAAGGGCCAACCGAGGTCTGCATGTTCTCGCCACGCCTGTTTCATACGGAGAACCCGGCTGAGCAGCCAGACAACAATGCCCTAGTCACTGTTATAGCCTCAGCAGGCCAGGACAAGACCCTTAGTATCTGGAATACAAACACATCACGACCGGTAGTCATTCTTCAGGATGTAGCCAGCAAATCCATTTCCGACTTGGCTTGGTCACCCGACGGAACTACCATTTTCGCCGCCAGCTTGGACGGCACACTCCTCGGAATCTCGTTCGACCACGGGGAGCTCGGCTGGGTTGCGGATGCTGGCGAAAACGATAAGGCTCTTCAGAAGTACGGCGCGTCGAGGAAAGGCATGGGTATTGCAGAGGACATAGAAGGTCTAAACCTGGAGAATCAAAGTAAAGCCGGCGAGTCTCGAGCTGCAGAGTCAAGGATGGGCGCCTTGATGGGTGACCCGGGTTCCTCCAAGGGGGCAACGCCTGCGACCAACGGCACCAAACCGGTTGGCAATGGGACAGCCACAGGCACATCAACGCCGAGGCCCACGAACGGCAATGTTGAGCCAGAGAAAGAGAGAGAGAAGCCTGCAGAAGAGAACGGCGATAAGTCAGGGGAGAGAGTCAAGGAGCTCAAGTCCCGGGTGACGGTTGGCAAGGACGGTAGGAAACGTGTTGCGCCTCTCCTTGTATCCTCATCCGGCACCGGGCAATCGTCCCTCCCTCAAACCCAGTTAGTGGGCTCAACATCGACATCAAAGGCTGCGCAGAACGATACGCCTCAGACCATCCTGGATCTCGAAAGACCATTCGAGGGTCTTCCCAAAGGCGGCGTTGCTGCCATGCTGCTCGGAAACAAGCGCAAGACACCAGTCATCGAGGGCGAGGAAGAAGAGGATCCCGCATCAAAGCGACAGGCAACGGGACCAACGCCTGTGGTACTGAACGGCGTCGACGGCGTCGAGCCAGCTTCAGTCGTGCCGGCTGCTTACGGCGTTGTACCCACACCCGAGTATCTCAGGCCTGCGGTGTTAAATCCATCGATTGCCTTTGCGCAAATTCGGCTGGCTGTACCCAAAGTAAGATCTCAGATTGTGAGGCCCCTCGAACGAGGGGTCTTGCTCCCGGAAAGCAGCACAGATGACGCCTCCAAGGTGCCCGAAAACATCATCCTTGAAGCCCGAAACCCTGCTCAAATCAGGGATCCCTCATTCATTTCTGCTACCAAGCGTGGGACGCTTCTTTGGCAGGACTACCTGCCGAGAGCAGTCATTCTTGTCACTGGCAACAAGAACTTCTGGGCAGTGGCATGCGAAGATGGCAGTATCTACACCTGGACACCCGCTGGACGACGATTGATGAACCCGATAATCATGGAATCCCAACCAGTCATTCTCGAGTGTCGCAATAATTATCTGCTTTGCATCAACGCTGTCGGCTTGTGCCACGTCTGGGATCTGCAAAGACAAGCAGCTCTGCATCCCCCAGTATCACTAGGCCCCGTCCTCGAACTCGCGACAACATCGCTCAATCTCAATACAACAACACCAGGTCCCGGCATCACATCAGCTCAACTCAACTCGGCTGGCCACATTGTGGTGACACTGACTAATGGAGACGGCTACTGCTACACTCGGGACATGTTCACATGGCAGCGGGTCAGCGAAGCCTGGTGGGCCGTTGGCTCCCAGTACTGGAACAGCAACGACTCATCGATTGGCGCTCTGCAGTCCACTGCCGTTGGACCCGTTACACCCGCGAAGCCGAAGGACGACAGTACGGCCAACGTTTCCGCCGGCATCATTCCCTACCTCGAAAGGCACACGACGAATGAATTCCTGCTCAAGGGTCGCGCCTACACCTTGCAGCGCATCGTCAAAATGCTGTTGACAAAAGACGGCTTTGAGGGCTTTGAATCAACGGTGAGTATTGCTCACCTTGAGAACCGCATTGCCGCCGCCCTACACCTGGATGCAAGGGACGAGTTCCGCCTCTACTTGTTCATGTATGCGAAGCGTCTTGGTGCCGAGGGTCATCGAGGCAAGGTTGAAGAGCTCCTCAACAGCTTGCTTGGCGGTATCTTGAGAGACAAGGACGAGAAGCCGAGCGAGGGTGGCCGGGGTTGGTTTAGCCAGGAGGACGAGATATGTGGCTGGGACCGCAAGGAGCTCCTGAAGGGCGTTGTCATGATTCTTGGTAAGTTGATTCGCTATTCACTTTTCATGAGATAGCCACGCTAACAATCGCTCAGGCAAATTCAGGGAACTTCAACGACTGACCATCCAGTACGCTCGTGTCCTCGACCTCAATCTCGAGAGTGACGGTGCAATGGAGATTGAGGCATGAGCGATTGGCTGAAGGATGGGAAGTCTGGTCTAATGACGAAGACGCAGCGTTTGTATAGTATACCTACCAAGTAATCCTACTGGTAGTTGGCATGATGAGAAGCAAAAGGGCCAGCAAGGCGTGTTCGTCGGCAGGTTTTTGGAGTCGGCGTAACTATTGGGTGTTTATGAGTGGGTCGGGCACGGCGAGCCAGGCATTGATTTTTACGCTGGCCTCACTTTGGGATGGGATGGACGTGGTCAAGATACAGTTCTAGTTGAGCTCAAGCTCGTAAATAGCATTCCATATTATTTTCTAACGTACTCGCAAAGCTTCGTCCATTGTTCCCGGCCAATTTACTCTGCCTAAGTTCTTGTTTGTTATCCACCTGAGAAAGCACCCTTAGGCCTCGTAAGTCAGAATCTATCAAACACAGCTCTTCCAACCTCTTATTTGCTTATACATGAGCACTAGAAGGTCACCTGCTCCGTCAAATCTCGAACTCTCTCCATCGCCGTCCGCAAACCATCCACATCCACGGCACCGACAGCCACGTCAGCCAGACTACAGCCCGTGTCCGGATCATCGTACCAGCTGATCACGCACATCCTCCCTGTCTCAAATTCCTTCTGGAAGGACTTGATGAAAGCGTCGCGGGACTTTTTATAGCTAACGGAGAAGGAAGATGCGCTCCAATGGCCGCGAGAAGTGAAGTGGGTTCGTAGGAGGGGGAGGCACATTGAGCCTGATGTTCTGACATTGAGGTCGACGATGTGGAAGTTGGAGAAGTCGGAGGCACCGTTCGTCTTAGAGCACGCTGCCGTCGACGATGTTGTTTCCAGGACATCAATTCCAGCTGGTCCAACGTACCCATATTCTCTCAGCCAGGTCGCAACCCTTTTGACCAACAGCCCAAACTTCTTCTCCAGCTGCTCTTGACGGCGGTAGTTGATGGTACTCCCGATCCATGCGTTATCGCCATCCGTCATCTGCTCCGATGCAGCCAGGAGAATCGGCTCATTGCCATCGTCTGTGACAAAGAACGTCAAGCCATAGTTTTCCAAGGGATCCTCGACCATATCAGACATAATCAGGGCTGCGGGCTGGAGATGAGCGTTTGACTCCGTCACTGAAGAAAGCAGCTTGCGAAGGACGCCGTTCCTAAAGTACTGCACCAGCTTTTGACGCTTATCCTCGGTGTTGATGATGTACATCCCCGCACAGCCCAAGGTCTGCTGGTTCTTGAGAACAAACGGCAGGGTGTGAGATTCGAGATCCGCGTAGATCTCCTCGCTTTTCTCCTTTAACCATCTGCCCCGGCTTCCTGCACAGGATTCCGGGACGATAAACTCTGCTGCATCACCGCTGGTGCACGAAGCACAGCATGCCCACGCATCACCAGCCAAACCATCGACCTCGAGAATAGTTGCTTTCGGGGTGGGAAGGCCTGATCGTGCGAGCGCAGCTTTGGAATTGAGAAACCTGTGTGTCTCAAGTGGGAAGATGAGGTTACTGTATGATTCCAGACCGTCGAGAACAAATTTATAGGCGATCAAATCGGTGCCGGCTTCTTTGATGGGGATTTCGGAGGGCCCGGGGCAGAAGATGAGATTTGGACGCTGGGATTGGATAGCACGGAGAGCGTCGTCTCTGCCTCGTGTATATCGTGCAGATTTCGCTTCTTGGAGTTTATGGTGTGGAAGAGCACGACGGCTGTGTTACCGCTGATGAAGGCGTCTCATTGCGGGATCAGCGAGAGGTATTTCACGGCCAGTCCGCGCTGCTGCTGTCTTCCGCCATCATCACCTGACAGTCTGCTGCAGGATGGATCTTGTGGAACGGCGTTGAAGGGGCTATCTTGGTAGAGGTATTTTGCGTTGCGTGGGACGTTGCGGTTGAGTTCTGAGCCGGAGTTGATGAGACAGAGGACTTGGGCGATGCGCTTGTCTGCGTTTCTGGGGCTTGCGCGGCGGTAAAGGTCTGTGAGGGTTGTGTCTAGGGTGACTGGTGGTAGGTCTATCATCGTTGTTATGTTTGCTTCTCCTCAGAAGTATGATTTTATGCTTTAGATTTAGCGATATTGTGAAGGGTTAAATTTATTTGAATGAGTTGCCCTTGTTTTTGAGTTGCCAAAAGGCGGGCTTTAGACCTCGTCTTGTAGAAGTGATGTCCTTGAAGAGCAAAAAATCATGGCTGGAAAAAGACGTAGGCCATCGCGACATGCAATTTAAAAACATCGGACCCTCGTGGCTGTGGTACGTTTGACGTGTGTGAGACATCCAAGAGAGATTAGTCGCCCAATGCAGATCTTCTAGGCCTGTGAGAGGTTGTGCGCCGGAGCTGTAGCGCCATCTCGCGCCTCTCAGAAGGGAGAGAAAGATATAAGATGTTACGAACAGAGGGACTATGCATAATTATTGATGTCGTCATCTCCATCCACGTTCGCAGGGCGTCAGTTGGGGGTTCACTTAGATCGGGGCGCCCAGTAATCCACTCGACAGGCGGGTCTCAGGTGAGACCTTTGACGTCGCTATCCGGTAAACAAGATAGCTGTAATTTCTTAGGCAGCAGGCAGCCTCACGACTTGAGTAAGCAGTTTCTGACCTAGAGAAGAACACGGTGAATGACTTATTTGAGGCAAAAGGTGTGTAGTTGTGAGATGCCGCCTCGACCTTTGCGGCCTACCCAGGTGGCTCCTGGTAAACTTGATCGATTACAACCACCGAGGAGAATTGTATCTTGCGTTGTCTACCCCAGCAATGCGGCGTGTTGGAAACGCTAGATACCACGGCATCCTGTTTACGTCGCGGCATATTGCAGGTCTCCGTTCCGGCATGAAACCCTGTATTGAAGTTGGTCTTCTAGCATGAAAGTGAGGAAACAAGGGCAGATTTCGGCATTGTTCAGGCCAACCCCTCTGGTACGAAAGGATCACAGAATGGAATTCTCCCCACCAACATACCAGACACCGCTTCAGACAACAACTGTCGTTCATAGGGCTTTCGATGAGTATGACTCGTTGGTGCAAGCCTCAAGGAGTCTGAGGGGACGTAAAGCTTCAAAGTTGTGGCTCATTGATAGCCGCTTGCACCGAAAGCAAACAATTATGCAAATCCATACGATGCTTGTCCTGGGAGACTGGCTGTATTCCGACCATGGCTAACAGGTTTTTGAGGAGAACGGTTGCAAATTCTATGCGATGCCAGACTACGCCTCCCAGAATTTCTGTGGAGACGTTAAGGACGACAACGTGATTGCCGCCCAGGTTTCCGGTTTTGTTGTGGCGGTGGCCATTGTGGCAAAAGATCAAGACGCCGTGCGGAGGATCGTCCCTGAACATAATGGATATTCGAAACGGCTTGGAGTCTTAGTGAGAGAGTAAAAATATAATGTGTCGGTAATATGTCCTGTCCAATATGGAACTCGATTCCGCGATAAGAGGAGTTCCTAGGCAACCATGTACGCTTATGAACTACACGTACAGCAAGCCTTGAACTGCGTTAAGGGATGCCTAGCAGAGGAGGCTCAGTCAAGGCTCTAAGAGAAAGGCAAAAGGTCTAAGATAGCAAGCAGTGTATTGTCTAGTTGGTAGAGATAATACTCTAACCTTGGTACGCAATGGTGAGATGTTATTATGAGGTGCTGAACTTACGTCTTCATTGGTCATACGACTGTTTGAGATGCATTATCAATCCATATACCAACAGCTCACCTCACCGTACTAGGCTAGACTAAGTGTGCTGATAGAAGTTCTGAGCAGCTCAATCAACAGGAGATGAGGTCGATGTAGTTAGAACAGCAGTAGACCAAGGCAAGCCACAGCTAGGGTACTACCATACGGGAGGTTGCAGTTCTAGGGACATAGCAACTATAAACGGTGAAGCGCGGAGAAGCACACGTACTGTACAGGTATAAATATACGGGTCACAAAGCTTGTGTTTTGAGAACTCTAAAGAACAACCGCCTTCGTGACACTATAGTCTATCCAAGGTCGGCCACGTCGCCTTTGATATGACATACTCCCGTACCATACAAAGATGCTTCAATTCACTTAAGCGGCTGGAAAAGATGAAGTTTGGTAGAAGCCGCCCGCCTTGGTTTTTAAAGTCGTCTACAGCATGTGTTGTGGTACCCGATTGTATGAATTTCCCGTCGCTAGCCTGAGCAGAAGTGATTTTTCAGAATCGCGAGACGAGAGTTTCCGTCTCTCTCTTATTAAATATCTGCCCAACTAAATTTCAACGATCCAGCCAGAGGTGAATCAATATTGGCGCGAGTCGGCGGGTTGTGATGTTCCATATTATGACGTTGATATTTTTTTTGAAGTGAAGGTCCAAAGAACGTCTTTAGTGTTTGTTAGGCGGAGGATACACACACAGCCCGAGCGTGGAAAAACAAGCCGATTTCTCAGGATGGCTCCGTCTCGGTCAACAGATCGTTTATCCTGAATTTATCTTCCTCAATACGCTCCAATCGTTTCGCGTGTGATACGACCAGCTAGCGAAGATTGCAGCGGTGTTTAATTATTTAAGCTTTACAAACCTTGCGTGGTTCAAGCGGCTTAATCGTACCAGCGGACTGTTCGTTGGCCCGAGTTCCAGTTTACAGAGGTTCGGAGCCGAAAAACTCGCTTTCGGATGGCCCTGTTCCGGCTTCCAGTTACAACAAGAACAACACTTGGTAGAGCTCTGGACCTTTGGCTTCTCTTGTACTGAATCATGTGTACCCGAATACGCGGACTACTCCGTGATTTTCTTGTGTACGGGATGGCCGATGAGATTGAGGACACCCAACCAAGCTGTTGATCATCGTTCGCGAAATTTATCCTGCCGGTATCCGTTCACCGGTGGGATGCTTCGCTTTAGTAGATTTTTACGGAGATCTGAGCAAATCAGGGACTCAATTGCATTGAACGTCGACCCGCCGGTACAAGTCATGTACAACATGTGAGGCATAGCGTGTTCTTGGATACTATCGATGGAAATTACCATGGCCAGGCAGTTGCCTTGAAGTCATCGTGTGCGAGTATTTGAGTCGACAGTTTGGCCTGCCATCTCTGATTACCAGGTCAGCAACTCTTTGTCGTTCAGGCTATTCAAGCCTCCCACAACATCGTACATCAGTCAGAAATCAGCTCCTCATCTCCCTTAAAATCCATGCCAAGATCTCTCTCTATAAGAACAGACCCATAAGGCACCAAGACGACAAAAATGAAGTTCCAAGCCATCCTCTTCCTCGCGGCCAGCGCTATCGCCGCACCTACACCGGAAGCAGTTGCTGAGCCTGCGCCTGCCGATGTTGGTGCAACAACCAAGGCCCAGCGTCTCTTGTGCTCCGGTCTCTGGACTGGAAATGACCTCGGCTTCGGAGACCTCAAGTGGGCCATGGAGAACCGCAGAGATGAGCTGCAACTCAAGGCCGGATGGTGGAACGAGGTCAACACGGTCTGCAGATCGACAGATGGCAGGGACATTGCGCAGAATGGTATTTGGATCACGTACAACCACGCACGAAGTAGCCAGGCGAGGACAAATCTGAAGTACAATGGTGCGGTCGTCTGTTCACCACAGAGCAGCTGGAAACTCAAGTGCGATAAGGCATGAGTGCCGACATCCACGAAGAAAGAGGTGGTTGATGGATGGAGAGTGCTCCCAAAACTTTCCAGATGAATACCTAGCGGTCTTTACAACAACGAGGCAGCACTTGAATAATTTCAATCATTAATGAGACACTTTTGATCATAAAGATATCTGCCTATGGTCGTGATTGTTCCTTACAGACCCACCGTATCTCTCACTCCTGGGTCATTTGTCCACTTATCGAGAGCAATGGAGTTCGTAACTTGGGATTAGCGAGAGCTTTGAGAAAGCTACATTTTATCAACAGATGTTGCCCAGACGCTAGCTCCAAGAGCACATGAGGACTCTGGCCGGAAAAAGTTTGGTGTTGACATTTGTGGCGTCTATGTCAGTGGCCAGCTAACTTTCAGCTGTTGTCTCACGGAAGGATGTAGTCCATATCACTCCCGCAGTGATCCGGTCAGCGCCCATCCTCTCCAACACCCATACTGCAGGGTCCTCTGCAGCTTGAACGCATACAATTAAAAAAGCACCAAGCAATGTTCTCAACGTAAGGTAGTTGCGGCAGACAAACTTCACAGAGCCGATCGGCTTATCGTGCATCCAGCCAGTTTGCACCGGTGGAAAGGAGGCGCCATCTTCTCGGGTTGCCAATCTCATCTGCTGCGCCAAGATTCGTAGACTAAAGGTGTCCAGAGACTTCTGACAGATATAAAAACACACTGTACCGAGACACCCTGGACTTTTGGGGTATTATGTCTCGAAGACTTGGCTTTCATTTTGCTTCACTGGCTCCAGTCAAGAACGCGATGATCGCTGTCTGACAATTGAGTCTTGGCGTAAGTAACGCGACAGAGATTGCGCATTCGAGATTATGGTCATCACGTATGCTGATCTTATTTTCCTTGGGAACTAAGGGGCTCGGAGAATGCTGTATGTCGAAGATGCTCCGCTGTGCTAAGTCAAAATGTTTCACACAAGCTGTCGGGACTGTGAGCTGAATGCAGTCGGAGTCTGAGATGAACTTATTGGAACTTGACCATCGGTACCGATGACTCCACATTTAACAGTCAACAGCAGTCTACCTTTGCCCGAGCCGAGTGATAATTGGGCGAGAAACGGGCGTGTCTCTGCCTTAGATACCTTAGTAGTGAGTCTTCTGCGGGGAGACACCAGCAACCCCGGCAGTGGTTCTCAAAGTCGAATTGAACTCCACGCGGGGGAAGATATGACCGCTTTCGGCCATATGGCCTAGTAGATTTGTCCCCATTCTAAGCGAGGAGTTTATGGGTTAACGTGAGAGAGATAAGGACCATTCCATTTGAGGCAACCTTTACCCTGCGCGCGGGATTTGTCTCGAGTTCACCTCCTTTGCCATTTTAAGACCTTTACACAAAAGCCAATCGGACTCATTTACACCCTTCGGCCGACGCGGGAGGGCTGC